AACACAACATATTCATTCTCTGTGTACTAGGCTCAATGGATGTTACCTCATTTAATCTTTATAACAATTCTATAGCACAAGAGGGAACCACTTGTTATTTCTGCTCAGAGTGACTCAACCTATTCTTTCAGAATCACTATTTTAAAGATGAAACCACAGGACAGAAAAATTAAGTTACTTTTCTGAGGTTGCATCACTTGTGAATGTTGAAGCTTGAATTTGACCTGAGAACTAGGACCTTCTTCTGAGAGGAGGGAAGTACTGGCTGACCCAATTTTCTTTACCTCAGCTCAGTAGAGCTATGGGCAGCAGTCTGCCCTCTCTCTATTGTTCTTTCCATGATCTTCCAACACGCCATGTGATTATAGAATGTTCTAATGATCCCAGCTGACCCAGTCTCAGTTCAAGGACCTTAGGTCTTCTGAAACTGTTCTGCACTCCATTACTCTATAAGGTTTATGGTACAAGCCTGAATGGCTGCACTTGATGGAAAAGAAGAGAAATGGAGAGCTCACTTGGCTGTGGGGAGTTGGTAGAAATAGACTGTTGTTAGAGCTGCTCTTTCCTAAGGCCATTGTCTGATTTACAGTCTAAACTCTGGAAACCTCTGCTTTATGTGGTTTGGTGTTCACACTGCACAGCTGACAGCCCAAGCCATTGTTTGAAAACAAGGGTGGGGGCTGGGCATAGGAGTTCATGCGTAATCCCAGCACTTTGTGAGACTGAGATGGGAGGATTGCTTGAGTCCAGGAGTGTGAGACTGGCCTAGGAAATATAGCAAGACCTTGTCTCAACAAAAAAAATAAAATAAGATAAATAAGCTAGGCATGGTGACACACCTGTAGTCCCAGTTACTTAGGAGTTTGAGGTAGAAGGATCACCTGAGTCTGGGAAATCAAGTCTGCAGTGAGCTGTAATCATGCCACTGCACTCCAACCTGGGTGACAGAGTGAGACCCTGACTCAAAACAATAACAACAACAAACAAGTGCAGGGACACAGGTCTGCAGCTCATGAACCAGGTTACCTGCAAGCTTAACTCATCCCTCTCACCCCAAGACTGAGCCTCAGTGGTGTCAGTCCAGAAGCTAAAGTGAACACAAGGGTCAGTGCTTATTGCCTAGTTCCTTGGGCATAACTGACCTGAAGCATGGCTCAGACCTGGGGGAGGCAGAAACCAGTCTGTATGGGAGGAGAAGGACAGGGCCCTCTCCTTGTGGAAACATGTGTACCTACTCCACCAATTTTTATGAGGCCCTGTTAAATGTTATTTGATGGTGACCACCCAGTCATCCCACCAACAAATGGAGCACTCTGAAGGGAGTTGTAGCTGACCTCTTAATGTGAAACAGCATACAAGGAGATGAGCTAAGAGGTAGGGTCTGTTTCTGCATATTTATCTCTGGTTATTAGACACTTTTAGAGAGAACATCTGTTTGTCCACCCTGGCTCCCATATTGCAGGCCCCATTTGAGGGCCAACTTGGCCCCTTCTTTGACTGAATGGGGACTAAGTCATAAATTAGAAGGGGAACCTAGAATAGGAAGTTAGAAGGGGCTTTGCCCAACTCACCAAAAAAAAAAAAAAAAGAAAAAAAAAAGGGAGGGGGTATTGGGCTCAACTGATCAGCCTTCAAGTGGAAAACAAAAGAAAATGATGATAGCTCTGAAGCTCAGTTCCATTGGAGCCATGTCTTATAAGATTTTTCCTGGGGACAGTACCACAACTCTAGGTGGGACCTGGGAGTCAAACCAAAGCACACAGCTTGATCAAGCTTCTGAAGTTCTAGGGACCTAGGCTTGGCTCCATTATTTGATTTCTCCTTTGGTTTAAAACTTTGGATACTTTTTTTTTTTTTCAGAAAGCAGGATTTATTGAGAGGACATAAAAGCTCCCATAGTGAGAGGGGACCTGAAGGGGTTGCCCATTTTTTTTTACAGGAGTAATATTTGTGTTTATAGCAGGACTTTTCCTGTCACCTCACAATATGTTCTTAGGAGATGTACATGTGGATTCACCCCCAGGACAATAGAGTAATTGACTATACAAAAGGAACACTCTTTGTTTTCTTGTTATGCTTCTGACAATACTTACAAGGATACAATTAATACAATAATTGGTTACATTCTCCTTTGTCCCCATTTCTTTGGATATTGTTTCTGTAGCCCACCTCTCCAATTTGCTTGTACACACCACTGCAAATTGAAACTCATCATATGAGACCACAGTTCCATTCCATCTGTAATAGTCTATGAGTTCATAGCTTATGCTAACAATCTCCCCCTTTGCACATTCCTCCTGTTTCTGTTGATGCCACATGGTCTGTCAAGTTCTACAGGTTCAAAATCTTCTAACTGTAAAGACTGCTATTTTTCTTCCTTGCTCTTCCTCTCTCTCCTGCAGCCCTTCTGATTTCTGGTCCTACTGACTTACCAAGGCATCTTAATTTCTAAGATCTTTTGTACTCATCCTTTGTGTTTTAAACTATCAGCCACCTGATTCTGTTTTCTGCCTTCCTGATCTTTTATCCTACCCTTCTCACCATTCCCAACATCTGGCACTTGACGGAGGAGCTCCTTATCTTTTACTTGGATCCTGGCAGAGCCTCATACCCAGACTCATCTCATTGCAATTCATTAAGCATATGTGGCCATATTCGTTTTCCTAAACCACAACTTTCATCAACCTCTTGCTCAAAAACTTTCCTTGGATGCCTTTCAGCAAAGAAAGTGCCACCTTTTCAGTTTGACCTTCAAGCCCTCTGCAGTACTGCAGACCTGTCTTTCCTATCTCCCTCTGACTTTTCCTGTGCTCTTGCCAAGTGGTCTTTAAACACATCCACACATTCTTCTTCTTCCTAGACTGCACGGTCTCCCTTTTCTGCTTACCAAAGTCTATGTATATTCAAAATCTGTTTCAATCATTTCCACAAAACTTCCTGAATCGCCAACTTCCTGTTTTAGTTTGTTTATACCCTTTGTGAATGAACGCATTCCACCTTTGGTAGACAAGTGAGCAGACAGATATTTAGGAACTGCATCTTACTGATCTTTGTCTCCCCTGCAGAACTTTTGCCAAGTGTTTAGCACATAGAGGCATTTCATGAAAGAAATGAACTGGATAGGTATCCCTGCTCCATTGTTTCTCCTTGCTACAATCTCATTTTAATAATCATCTAATTATACTGGCACTTTGTTTCTTCATGGCATTAAAGGTTATAAAACATTTCCCCAAAAATTATGTCAACTGATTTTCATGAACAGTCCTGTAAGAAGGCAGGGTAGATTTTATCCCCATTTTATAGGCAAGAGAACTGAGGTTCATAGAGGGAAGATAAATTGCCCAAACTCCAAGCAGATAAGGAATGAAGCCATTAATTGAACCCAGAGAAACATCCTGATATGAAGTCGAAGACAAAAGAAGGGAGCAATGTCCGACTGAGCCCTCCCAAGGAGGTCTTTTCCAACTTCATTTAGTACAATGAAAATACCATTCTAAGCCAGTTGGGGACACCTTGAATGAAGGATATTGGTCAAGGAGCTGGACATGGGACACTGTGTGATTGCATGATCATTTTGAATTTATGGCTATTTTTTCCTGCTTTCATCCCCAGATACAGATAATCATCACATGAGCACCAAGAAGTGTGAACTCTGTCTTCCTCTCTAAGTTAAGCCATCATTCCAGGCCTCCTTTCACTTACTGGAAAGAGTTCAGAAACTCTTGGAGAACTATGCCTGAAAGCACTCATGTGATGTTCTGAGATCTGGGTTTAGTTTTTACTCTTCTCTCACCCTCAGAACTAACCCCTCATTTACCTGCTCATTTGTTCACCCAGTTTTCATCCATCCAATGATCCATCCAATGATCCATCCATCCATCCATCCATCATCCTACAAACTTTCCTTGAGTACCAGACTCATACACTACCACGTATTCTACCTCCCTAGACTCTTTCTGGCCTCCTCAGTTCCAGACAGAAGAATCCTGCTAAGGTACCAGTAGGTTATGTGATATGTTTTCCAGGTAATTCTTATGCATTTTAAGAGTAGGTTTTGCCAAGAATATATGAAGGCCTGAAGAGAGAATGGTGGAGGTTGAAGGCATTTTTGAATAGGTAGGTTTTGATTTTTTTTTTCCCCCAAAGCACCTCATGTAGGACTTGGGGGGTGATAACCTCCAACTTCCTTCTCAAAGCTTATACTCTTTCTTTGCTCTTCAATGCTGTTGAAAGGAATGTGCTACTTCATAGCTACCCTTCCCAATGATATGAACCTAAGTTGTGTTGTACAGGTTCTTTGCTGCTTTCCCTTACTAGATCTCAGTTTATAGTCTCTGACTGGATGTTTGAAGTGAGTGGATGTGTAAGGAGAAAATTTGGGGTTTTGATTACACTTGGAATTGTTAGATATAACATTTGGAAAAATTAGAAAATTCAAGAGCATAAATATATGCTGGGTTGCAGAAAAGTTAGGAAACCACATCCCTACCCCTCCCCTCCCACTCATTTTTTCTGTGCCTTGAATATATCCTGGTTGAGCTGTAGGGAGACTTCTGGGGCGCCCATTGCCATGAAGGTCTCAAGGTTAGAACTTCCTAGCCATTCTTTCTTCACTCCTGGAAGGCCAAGTGAAATAAGTGGCCAACTGGTTAATCTTAAAGCCTACCAGAGAGCTTTGCCTGGCAAAGGCAGATCGTCAGTGAGGAAGACTGTGTAGAGCATGAAGACAGATGGCACGCTTTTCAGGGTCAAATTATGTGAAAGCCTTTGTGAAAGCTTTTTCCTTCTTTCTTAACCAATACAATCCCTGAAGTCAATTCCTTTTTTTTTTTAACGTGGCAAATGATTTCCCTCCACAAATTCTCCCATTCCCCTTTTATTCTGCTATTCTGTTAATTAAATCACAATATATGTTCTTCTAGAGGTTTTGAAATGTCAGAACATTTGCATCAATACCCTCATTTCACTGTCTTTCAACACAAATGAGTCACATTGAGTGGTATGATATACAATAAAGACTCCATTTATTTGTTTCCCCTCCCTCTCAAGTTTAGCAAAATAATTCAGATCCTAATTTTCTTTAACTTGAAGAAAATGTCATTCCCTCATGTTCAGAGACCTTCGGGGCCCTGATACTAGCTTTGGTGAAGCTCCAGTTCATATGTGCTTCTGCTTGTAGTCAGCTGTCTGCTGCAGGGCTGACTCAATGTATGATTTTATCAATATATACAATTTAAATTTTTTCTCTACTACGTGAAAGTTTAAGTGGAATAGAAGAATAAATGAAGATTGGCTTTAAAAAAAAAATTAGAGGGTGATAATAAGTTCTCCAGGAGCAAGCTTTATGTAGGGGCTCATGCTTTTGGTTGATTGCAGCTTTTTCAGTAACTCAGTGATATATCTCAGAAACATGTGATAGTTTTGAATGGACAGGTCAATCAATCTTGTGGACTCAACAATAAATTTTTCATAGTAATCAGAGAGTTGGTCTGAAAAATCCTGCAGTTTATATCTAAATTGCTGGTGGTAATCAGAAATGATTTTCTTCATTGACACAGCCCAGCTTTTAATGATTTCCTGAGCAGTGGTAGAAAGCTCTGCAATCTTCTCTTTCCCTTTTCCATCTGGGTCGGTAAGGATGCTAAGATATTCCTGCACAAACTGCTCATACTGATCTGAGAGTTGGGAAGCAAAGTCAGCAGTACTGAGAGAATATGTGGAATGGAAGTCCTTGAGGGCAATTACTAGGTTCTCCATCAGGCTGACTACCTTTTCTTCAAGTTCATAATATTTCACTGTCCAGCCGACTACACTTGGGTCAAAATATTCTTCGCGGAGAGCCTTTATGTACTGATGGATCTGCTGTAAGCTTTGAGAAGCCTCCTGAAGTTTGTTTTGAACAAGTTCATTAAGCTTATCAAGGATAATGCATAGGTTTTCTTTCAGGATTCCAAAAACATATGGTATATATTTGTTAAAGGTTCTGTCAATCTCATATTGGATATCATTAATAATATAAGTAAATTTTGCCTTCTTTAAATATTTAATTTCTTTTTCTAAACTACGGAAAATGAATTGTAAAGGGCCTCGAAGATCACTTAGCATCTCTATGGTCTTGTTAAGATGGGTGTTGTCAAGTGTCATTTGAACTTCTTGTGATACAGATTTCAACAGTTCTATGATCTCTGGGATCACATCTATTAGCTTATGGCTCCTTGGCTCAAAAGGAAAACGAATCTTTAGGTCCTTGATTAATTCAGAGTTCGCCACTAGGTCTTGGATATAGGAAAGCAATATTTCTAACCCTTCATGGATACTTGAATATACCTGGGACAGTACCTTCCTTACCTCCCTCATGACCATGGTGCAGAGCTCAGAGTATGTCCCAGCTTTTCCTGGGAGCTGGAATTTGGTGTACTTCAGGAAATCAGTGAATGAGTCAACCAGACGCTGGATTGTCATATGGAATTCTTGAGTGACTTGTACTAAGTTGTCAATCAGCTTGTCCTTAAGTCTCTCAAAATTCGTTTGTCCTTCCTGAGCCAACATTTCCTGGTACAGATTCTGGGCCTTGTCTTTCCATTCCTGATAGGCCCCAGTGGCACCACTGGTTACTCTCTGGAACCGCATGTCCATTTCATCAATTTGCCTCATGGCATTTTGATAGGCCCGTTCAGCATTGTTTTGCAGACTTCTTCTTAACTTTGAAGAAGCATCTCTTAGGGTGAGTCCCGTGTGCTCCCAGTGGTACTTATTGACATAGTCATAAAGGGCTCCTGTGGCCTTGGGTATGTTGTCTTTCAGAGATATTAGCAAGCCAGAAGCTGCCTCTTCTTCCCAATTAACTTTGATCTGAATTTCCTCATCAGACTCCTGGTCCCTCAACTCAGTTTTGAGTATAGTGAGGTTTTTATCTGGAGAGGACTAAATGCAGGGAAAAAAAAAGGATGAAAAGAACATGTTTTCAATTACCCTGATAACATACTACACTAAAACTTCATTAGTAGTTAAAAGTAAGGATTAGAGCATCTTTCATATTCTGAAGGGGATTTATCTTTTATATGTCAGTTCATGTGTTTGTTTTATGGTTAAAAAGTCTACTGTTGTTAACTCCTCTTTATCACATGCCCCAAAAAGGCTAAAAAAATAAATATGCTTGGGCATTGGGCATTTACACAGTGACACTTAACATGAAAGCCTTCCTGGGACTGAAAATTGGAAGAAGAGGAGGGGGAAAAGGAAGAGAAGGAGAAAGGAGAGGAAGAGCCAGGAAAAGATAGATTCAGGGAAAGAAGAAATAGCAAAAAAGAAAAATGTTGGAGCCCATCTAGCAGAGACCCAGACTCCCAATATCAGTACTCATTCTCCATGCCCATGATCGACTCTAGTGATAGCAACAGAGCCAGGTTAGATCTTTTCCTCTGGTAATGGCATCTTTGATTTGGCCCTGGCAGAGCTTGTAAATAATATGAGAAGAATTTTATATATCTCATTTAGCAATTCTATTGTGGGGAAGTAGTTTGAAGGGTTTAAATGCTCCAAAAATCACCAACAATCTGAAAAAGGTACTCTGCCCATGGCAGAGTTTGCCTATCAATTAGGTGTTGAGGCATAACCTTCAACCTTCTGGATTTCCCAGAATCAGTATAATAATAGTGTTATATGATGTCACATATGCATCTAATCATTAAAATTAATAAAAGACTCATAATACTTTCCAGAGTATAGTTCCTCAGAGGAGAAGTTCAACCCCACTCATTATCTGTCTTTCTTCTAGTTTGGGAAGATTCTCAGAGAATAGTTTATCTTGAATTAAATGTATCTGCCCAATTCTCGACTTGCTCTTAGGGGTATGTCACCCATTAGAGGGAACTCACCTGAGGACGGTAGTAGAAGTTCCATGTAAAAAATTTTTCATCATCTTCCAAGTCCATGCCCACAGTACCTAAGGTTGAGGAGGCTACTGAGATGGAAAGGCTTTTCTCCTTCTCCTGGTAGTGCAAATGGAGATCAGTGAATGCTGGGCTGGTGATGTCAAGGTGAGCTTTTCCTTCCCATTCCCTGAAAGCAGAACAACAGATGAGCCATTGTGAAAGGTGTATGGAGATGGTAAAAATCACAATGAGTTTTTAAAAATTCAATGAAAGTTCCATACTGTAGTCCTTTATATCTGCCAGCTTCTTCATATTCTGCACTGAAATCACGGTGTGCAAGTGTCCCTTTGGTCTTACAAACTAACATGCCATCTTCAATTCTGTGTGTTTCCACAACTGTATAGAAAATATTTATATGTCATTAGATTAATGACAGTAGCATATAGACAGTTTCATTGTAAAACTGAGAATTCTATTAATATCTTAACCAAATACTTAATGTTTAAAATATGCACGGTACAGTTCACAGTTGTCTTTAAGTAAATAGCTAGAAGGCATTATTAGTCCTAAAATAATTACAGAAAAATCTATTTTCTTTGAAACTTTTCTTCTTGAATGTCAACTGATTTTTTACGGTTTGGTTTTTACACATAGGATATTACTTCTCTTACTTTAAATTTTATCATAGAGAATAACTGTGCCTCTAATCATAACTAAATATATAATTATTTACTCTCACTGAAAACATATAGTATTTAGTAGAGGTGGCAGGGTATTTCCTTACCATTTAGGTCATATTCTAGAATCTGTAGGGTTGAGCTGCACGTGGAATCCAGGAATGTTTCAACATGACCTTCTTTGTTTTTCAAGCCAGCATTCCAAGTGGCATTATACAGGGGAGAGGCCACTCTAAAACGTGCAGACAGTGCTCCAAAGGAAGGGATGAATATTCCAGCAGGTACAGAGAACTTAATGGAAGGAATATCAATAGTCTGCTCAGGCATGATGATGGTGGGCAACTCGAAGTCTGCAATTTTGTTGGCTACTTCATTTAGATCCAAAACAGTGTTGCCAACTGAAATACCTCTTGGAAGGGTGAACTGGGACACAGTTAACTGAGATTCAGGCACAGTTATCTCAAAAAAGGGAACCGAGGAGTCTTCTGGTTGAGAATATTTTGTTAACACATCAACTTTGGGGAATTTTACTTTGGGTAGCATTGGTAGGTTGAGGGCAAATGATGAAGTGCTTAGTTTCTTGTAGATTTTTATTTCACTAAAGTCAAGTTTGTAGGATGGAACTTTAAGATCTGTAAACGGGACTTGAAACATAGGTGTGACAAGAACTGAACTTAGATCATTTTGTTTCAGCCTGGGGATAATGAATTCATCAGTCAGAACTTTCACCGGGACAGAGAAAGAATAGCCATTGGGGTTTTTGGTGTACACAATGGCAGTTGAAGCATGAAGATACTGTCTCCTGTCAATGCTGGTAGTTACATCCAGCTTTAGTAGATCCCATAAGCTCTTGTCATACACTGGTAGGATGATATATTTGAGGAAACTTAGTTGTCCTTCTAAGGATCCTGCCATGTCCAAATGTGCCTTTTCTTGGTCATTGGAAAGTTCAACATGGCTCTGGAGAGACCCAGAATGAACCCGGACTACATTTTTCCAGTTGACCTTCTGGGTCTTTGTGTTAGCATTCAGAGTCACTTCTTGGCCAAGGTAAGGAATATCAAGGAGGGAACTGCGCTGACTTGAGTGAACCTGAACAAGGGTTGACATTTTCCATGGGGAGAGTTCCAGGGTGGCTTTGCTTGTGTGTTCTCCAAATATGAAAAAGAGGCCCTCTAGCTCTAAGTGGTTTTTTGTATTGTGTTCCCAGATGGCATATATGCGTCGAAAAGTGGCTTCTCCAGCAAAATTTTCTTTCACTTCAAGGTTCCAGATATCATCTACTTTGGAAGCCCCTTGCAACTTCAGTGAAGACCGGGTGCCCTTGGAATTCAAGTAAGTGCTGGCCTCACTGGCAATATTTCCTGAATATTCCTGTGAAAGGACAGACCCCTTGACATCACCTTTAGTAGATGACTCAATGGAAAAGTAAGAAGTGAGACTTTCCAAGGTGAATTTGTGGTCAATGATCCCTTTAGCAGTAGAGTACAGCACTGGGGAATTGAAATCGTACTTTAATTCCATGGAGGAAGAGACAGTAGGTTTTGATTTGGTATTTCCATTAAGTTCTTGCTTGAAATTCATCCTCAAGATTGGAATTTGGACTTTTGCAGTTGTTGTCACCGATGCTTCCATGTTTTTCTTGGTTAAACTAACAGTACTGTCATGACTGCCTTCCACAAACTTGTTATTCAGAGATAGAGCCGTGGCTAGTTTCAACCCTCTTTTTCTTGTTAAACTTGAGGTGCCCTCTAATTTGTACTGCAGTGCATCAATGACGGATGAAGACGAAGAAAGGAGATGAGCAACAATATCTGATTGGTTATAAAGTCCAGCATTGGTGTTCAGTGTGATGACACTTGATTTAAAGGAGAAATCATAGGTAATATTGCCCATAGCAGGAATAAAAATATTATTTCCAGTACTCAATTCTTTGAAATCTGGAAGAGAAAGCATAAAAAGATTCCTGGGGACATGAAGGACTGGCAGGTCTAGGTCTAGTGGGAAGACTAATGTGTATGAAGGCACAAAGATGTTGGAACCCAGTATGGTGATACTGGGGGTGCTCATTGCTTTTGGGATTACATAGCCAAATGCCAACATCTCTACTGTGAATGGAGACACTTCAATATTGACAACTGGAATAGTATATCCAGGAATTTGAAAGGTCCTTGGGAGCTCATCGTGGGATTTTTCAACTTTGTACCTATCAAGCTTGATTTTGGCTTCATTATAGTAGTTGGTGAAAAAATCTAATGCATTCTTTCTGGCTTTCTCAAAATGCCTGCCAAAGGAATTGAGGTTCTGACCAATAAACTTATAAAACACACCCAAAGGATTTGCAATGGAATGCCTGCCTTTGCTTTTCTTATACTGAGCTTTTACACTTAAATCAAATGATTGTTTTGTTGTTTTCAAAAATTCTTTCAAGCCTGTTTTCTCCCATAAGGAGAAATCCTTCAGTGGGGGAGTTGTGATTGTTGTGTAAGGTAGAGTCATTTCAGGAATTGTTAAAGGAATGCTTAAGAAATCCAGGTTGGCTTCTCCATTTAGTCCTATATGGGTCTCCATGATATTCTCATTGTTTCCAGCAGAGAAGTTTTGATTGTACTTATACTGATTGAACCTAGCACTTGCTTGCCAACTTGTTTGCTGGACACTAGGACTCAGAAATAGTGCATAGTTATTCAGGAAGTCTATCTTTCCTGTTAACTTCAATGGAAAACTCACTTTCAAATTTCCTTCATTGTTTGTAGAGGCAGTAATTTCAAACATCTGGAGTGAAAACAAAAGAGAATTTTTCAAAGTTCCAATAACTTTCCCATTTAAATGAGCATCGTGGTTACCAGTTATCTCTGCCTTCCCTTCTCTAAATAGTGCTGTGCCTTTAGCAGTTAGAACACTGCGGCCCACGTGCTGGGATTCAACTTGTGACTGAATTTCAAATTTAGAAAACTTGGGGAAGCTAGATTCATAAACCAAGTTTTGGTTTACTCTCAGGTGTTTGCTATTGATTTTATTGGACAATCCAAAGGAAGTGATGGATTCTCCAACAGTGAAGCTAATTTGTGATTCATGTGTTCCTTCATCTGAGAAATTGGGACTGGCCCATTTCCATGACCCTGCACCAGAAGAAGTCCATGCTATGCGGCCAGTTTCCAACAGTGTCTTGATTTCATTGCGCAGGTCAGCCTGACTAGAGAAGTCCAGTTTGGGGATGTTCAGTTTGTGAAAGTACTTAGTGTTGCTATCCAGGGTAAGCTGATTGTTCATTTTGACAATCATACCATTACTAAGTTCCAGTGTATTTTTTTCTGTGTGTAACCTTGCCACTGTGTCTGATTTTCCCTCAATTGCATTTCCAAAAAATAGCATTTCACTCTCATGCTCTGTTCTCAGGTACTTGCTGGAGAACTTCATGGACTCCTTCAGAACAAGTGGATTGATCTCCGGGTTTGAGAGTTGTGCATTTGCTTGAAAATCAAAATTGAGAACTTCTAATTTGGACTCCCCTTTGGCAGCGATGGAAGCTGCAATATCTGCTTTGTTTCCTGAAGTTGTTACATTCTGCATGTTAGCATTTACATCTAATGTGAAAAGGGGAGACTGGATTTTTAAAACGCTATACAGCTTCCCAAAAGTAGGTACTTCAATTGTTTGTGAGATGTGGGGAAGCTGGAATTCTGGTATGTGAAGATCAGGCGCTTGAAAATCATTAAGACTGAGTTTTGGGATTACGAATTCTGGAATTGTGATTTCTGGTAAATGGAAGTCTGGCAGGGTGATTCCAGCAAGAAGAGTGTCCTCCACCTTTAGATCCCTCAGATACACTTCTGGAACGGGCCACTGCAGCTCACTATTCAGCATCTGGTCAATGGTCCTGATAATCTTTACTTTTATTTCTACTAAGTCAATTGTAAAGGAAGGAATGTGAAAGGTGTTGAGGACAGTGAATTCTGGCGTGGAAAACCTGGATGGGATTTTTATATCTTTCAATTCTTTGAAGTTTAACTGAATTGATGGAATCCTCAGATCTGTTAGGGGGACTATGAAATCAGGTGTCTGGAAGGTAGCTTCCTGAAGAGCCCGAAGACTGACTCTAAAGGCAGGCATGGTCCCAAGGATGGTCTGGATTTGGGGAACAGTGAACCCTTGTTCTACCAATGTTTTCACACGTTCAGCCCAATCTTGGATAGAATACTGCTCTGCAAAGTCAGTAAGGTTCTTAGCAGCAAGAATCCACCAGTCAGAAATGTAGGTGACCAGGGTGCTATATACCTGGCCCATCAGAGACAGGTATCGCTCAAGTTCCTGCTGAATGTCCATTTGATATATTCGGTCTCGTATATCTTCTAGGGTCTCTTGGAGTTTGGCCTTCATGTGAGCCAGAGATGCTGAACTTAAAGTGTCCTGTAACCAGTCAATAATTAAGGTAACTTTGGTATCCTTTAGGCTTTCCAGACACACTTCAGCCAAGGCCTTGGTGTCCTTTAAAAACAGCTTTAGTATTTCAACTTTTTGTGGTAGTTCCAGAGCCTGAATTTCACTGTTAATTCTCTGAGTCACCTCACGGATTTTGTTGTTGCTTTCATCTACAAACTGGTGGTAATCAAATGACTTTAATTTCTTTACCAACATGTCAAGGAATCTGTTTACTTCTTCAATGAATTCTTTTAAAGACAATGCGTCAAGCTTCTTGACAGCCTCATCGATAAACCCAACCAATTTCTCAAAGTAATCTTTTATCTCAACTTGTTGTAGGACATTGCTTAGCTTCTGAACAGTCTCTTTCAAATTATATTGGTAGGCCAACTGCACTGATTTATCCATTAAAACCTGAATTTTCTGGTCTATTTCATGTTTCTTAATTAACTCATGGACTTTGGCTCTAAAAGCATTGATTTTCTCAGTAACTTCAAAATCTCCAATAAGATTTATAACAAAGTATTTGACATGCTCAAGAATATCATTTATTCTTTTAAATGGAATTGTAGCTCTCACTTGATCTAAAAGCACTCTGATATCTACAGCCTCAACTTGTTGTTTTAACTTTCCAGCAATGTTCTGTATGTCTGTATTCTGAATGTGTGTCATGAGCTGTTGCAATTTTTCTTGTATTTGGATTCTAATTCTATACTTAGTGTCCACATTTTGAATCCAAGATGCAGTACTACTTCCAATTTTGTTAAAATCAACATTTTCAATAAACAAATATAGATTATGGATTGTTTTTGCTACATTTACACGAATATGATACTGTTCATCAAGAAGTTTTAATTTTTCAATGATTCGATCAATAATCTTAGCAATAGCTGTCTTAAAATCATGTAAATCATAATTATCTTTAACATACTGATCAAATTGTATCACATATGTCTGCAGTTGAGATAGTTTTTCATTAAAGTTGATCTTGGCATTATCCAATGCAATTTGTAGATCATTTTCTGTAATCCTATAATTTTTTGTGAAAGCAGTCAGTTTCTCCTTGGCACTTGAAACTTGTCTCTCCCAATTAAATGAATTCAGATAATCATCAACTTGCTGTGGGAGTCTGCCCAGGGCTGCTCTGTAGTTCCTCATAAATTGATCAATATTGATACGTTTCAATTCTCTCTGTATGCTTTCCAATACAGTTCTAATTATTCTTTGATTCATCTCAAAATATTCTTGCAGGGTTGTAAAAAATGGGAGGTTGATAGTGTGAACATCTTGGTTTTTATCATATTTTACAAAAGCAACAATTGTAAATTCTTGGGGCTTGTCAATGGCATCTTTAATCTCTAAGGCATCAATGACATTGACGGGTTCACTGAGTAACAGTGGCACTTTAATTGGAGAGTCTAGTATAGTTAGGTCAGCCAGGGCTCGTCCACTAAGCTCCACACCAATTTTGTCTTTAGTGTTGTAAGCATCCAAGTCCTGGCTGTATTCATTGTTGTTAAATTGAGTCTTGAGTTTCCAGGTGCCAGTCTGCTCAGCTGGAGTAAGCAGGGCACTGACTTTGTGATCAAGAGCTGTACTGACACTTTTCCTAGACATGAGATGATGACTTGTGGATCCTTTGTAATCATGAGAGAAAGTAAGGGCCAGAGGTTCAGCTTTTAACAGGAATTTGCTATACAACTGCCCAGTGTGTTCTCCCCAGAGAGTCAGTTTCCCATTGCCATTTGTATGTGCATCGACAGTCATAGTAAATGGTGCCATTACAGAGTGGAAGACATTGCTGAAATGCAGTGAGTCTGAATTATAGTTTGTACTGATGTCAATGGCTGAAGCCAGTCCAGCAATGTCTGTGTTAAGCCGATGGCTAAATTCCACACCCTGAATCTTAGCCACAGTGTCCGCTTTATAGCTTGCTGATAAGGCAGCATAAGAAATGGTGTAGATGTGTTTTATTTCATTATTTTGGTAGGTTCCTTTTAGGTTACCCCCCACATTCAGCTTCAGGGGTTCTAGCCGCAGTTTCCCACTGTTGGTCAGATCCAGAGCATTGTATTTCAGGTCATTGTGTAGAGTAGTTACCAGAGAATAGGGCTGTAGCTGCAAATTAAAATTTTGCTTATAAAACTTGTCACGGCTATAAAAGTTGTCAAGTTTTGAAGAGAAGTCCAGTGATAAGCCTGCAATATTTAGACTGTTTGTGTGATCAAGTTTCATCTCTGCATATGAGCCCATCAAGTTGTTTGAGAGCATAAGCCCCTCTTGGCTGATTTTGAAGCTGAAAATGTTTTTGCTGTCGACACCCAGAATCATAGCCTGATAGGTACTTCCCAGTGACACCTCTGTGAGGGCAGCTTTTCCATCTAGATTGAATTTTGCGCCATGTTCCCTAAAGCGGCCATTTGTTGTTAATTTCATAGATGCCCCAGCCAGACCAAGCTCTGCATTCAGCTCATTCTCTAGCACCAAGGGACTATACTTCAAGTTGGTCGTTGCACTGGTAGATATTCCATCTCGGGTAATCCTTAGGGTTGCTTTGTGAGCACCACTATTAATTTTGTCAGTGCCCAAGGTGTCAGCATTTAATTCAAGACCATGGGAATTTAGTGATCCAGAAAGCAGGGTGAAGAACCTCAATGATTTGTAATCAACCTGATACTCAGAACGTAACAATGCATTTTGCTTAGAGAAGGTCAGGTCCATCTTGTTAGAAGTGGCAAAATTCTCATGCTTTCCATTGGTGTCAGATTTCAGAATTAGCTCATAGTTTTCATATTTCAGGGAAGCAGTATTTTTAATGATGCCACCTTGTAGATCAGAGGTGGAGGTGAGGGAGAGGGTTCCATCTTCATATCTTCCCGTTATCTGGTTGGTGCCCTGGAGGTAGGTGGAGTTAAACCTCAGGTTGGACTCTCCGTTTAGTTGGCCAGTGGCAGGATCCTTCTGATAAGACAGGCCATATGTTCCTTTGGCATAGAAAGAGGAGACTTTGAACTGTCCCTCAATTTTTACTTCCTTGACATATAAATGCTGTTTCTTTTTTGAATTCAAATGGACTGCAGCAGACATCTGTGGTCCCAAAGCACTAGATGCATCAAATGTTAGTAAACCTTTTGAGAGTGGGCTGTTTCCAAGTTTTTCCACATGGCTGAATTTGATATTTGAATCTAGAAATTTATGGCGCAAAGACCCATCACATGATAGTGTGAACGTATTCCTGTGGTCATATGTTGTTTCTCCAGATCCTAACAGAAAAATTAAAAAAAAAAAATCGGTTAAATTAAGTAGTATAATTCCAGAACAGTTTTTATGCTAACAGTTTTTCAATAGTAACGTCCCATTTATCTGGTCAATTGTGCAGCAGACTTCTCCATCTATAATATAAACATAAAATCTGATAGTAAAAGGTGTTCCTCCAGGAAGTCTTCCTTGACCACACAGATTTTATTTGGTTGCCCTATTGAGTGCTTCCACAGTACCTTACACTTATACACTATACCCTATCATAGTACCTCTCACACTGAGAGTTTATCTGTCTTTTTCTGTTACAGCCTAGTAGAATATTTAATACATATTATATACTTAATAAATATTTTGATTGGTTAAACGAATGAAAAGACTTCCAAATAGCAAGGGAAAATATCTGTAAGAAAGCCCAAGTTCTTCCTCTCTGGAAGAAGCTCTCCCATCAGAGCCTGCAGTGGACTAGCCCTGTGCACCCTTTTCATGGCTTACCTTGTACATTGTAGGAAAGCAGGTCAACCACAGAGTCAGCCTTTACATGGTACTGACCCCGAAGGCTGAAGTGTTCTGTGCTGGTGTTACCACCAGAGTAGGAGGCAGACCAGTTGTACAAGTTGCTGTAGACATTCGTAGAGAGGTCTAGAACACCCAGGAGAGGCACTTGCAGTTGATACAACTCAGGAATAGTAAAAGTAGGCACTTGGAACTCTCGAGATGGCAGGTGAAATCCCACAGACTTGAAGTGTAGGGCTGGTGTCCTAACAGTTTCTAACATCTTTAGATCTTTGGAGGATTTGCCACCAAAAGGAAGGGGAATCTCAATTTTTACACTGTTCTTGTTCAAGGTATATTTGACCCGGCCATCACTGAAATGAACAACAAAGACAATGTCCCTACAGTTAGACATCAAGAACTCAAAGTTCTCTGCCATCTGATCTTCCAAGCAATATTGTACCTGCTTCACTCCCAAACCCACTGTGTACTTTTCCTCACGCTACTCCCTATGCCTGAACCCCTTTGCTTTTACCTCTACATGCCAAACACTCAGATCCTTAGAAAACTTCCAAGAGCTACTCCTTACCCTTGCCATCCCACTTATGTCATAGCTAATTTCTCTTGCACATATAGTGACACAGTTCCTTATGCCTCTCTCAGAGAGCATGTCATAATTCTGCTTATATAATTAGTTATTTGTTCATTCACTTGTTGGTGCCTACATGTTGTCTTCCTGGGAAGAAAGGCTACACCTTATCCAGTTTCTATCTTCTCACGTCACCTACTCTAGTATTTTGCAAATAAGGGACACTTTATACATCTTTGCTAAACTAAAATGAGGCAACTTGATTTGTGGAAATAATGCAGGTATGGAAGTCAGTATACTTGGGTTATGGTTTTAGCTTCTACTAATTGATAATGCTATCTTAGCAAATTCATCTCTCTGAATCTCAGTGATGGTTATCTGTATAGCAGGGATAATAGTATCTTTTCTGCAGACCTCACAGAGATGGCCAAGGATATCACATAAATTCTCTAAAAGCTCTTTACAATCTTTTCAAGACAATGAACATACAATAAGCTACTATGATAACTTATAAAAATAAAGTAGGACAACAGAATTTAACTGTTATAGACAAATAACTGTTCATTGTATTACTCCAACAGGGGGGTAGATGCTGCCTGTTGACATTAGTAGAAGGATGACTGATAATTACTAAGGCCCTGTTTGATTATATGGTTCTGAGCTTTCTTTTCAGTGTAGCTCAGAGAAGACTGCTGGTCAGAAACACTGGTAGTTAAGGAAGGTTCCCATATCTTCAGTAGGCTTTGTTCATATCAGTGATTGGGCAGACTTCAACCTTTTCACAATAATCTGGTTTATTAAATTGTGTTGCTCAGTTATAGACATTGGAAAGTCCCATATGACACAGGCTACTTGTTTTCTTAACCTGGAGGACAATTTAGAGGACAGTCAATCTAAGAAAAAAAAACTATAGTCTTTTCAGCTCATGCTCTGATTTTTTATTTTCATGAAATAAAATAATCAAATATTGCATATATTTTTGTAAATATAGAAATGAACTGAGCAGCTTGGAATCTGACTTTGCTATAAGGATTAAGCTAAGCTGCTAAACTGAAATACAGTTGTCCCTCCATATCTTTGGCTTCTGTATCTGTGGACTCAACCAACTGTGGATCAAAATTATTTTTTTTTAAATTGCATCTGTATTGAACATGTACAGATTTTTTCTTGTCATTATTCCCCAACAATATAGTATGGCAACTATTCAAATCACATTTATATCATAGCGAGTATTATAAGTAATGTAGAAATTACTTAAAATATATGGGAGGATATATGCAAATAATATGACATTTTCTATTAAGGGCCTGAGCATCTTCAGATTTTGGTATTCCAGAGAGTTCCTGGAACCAATTCCCCACAAATACCAGGGGATGACTGTATTTTCTCAGAATTCTGCCTTCGTTCAATGCTCAATGACTATTCTGACCTTCTGTAGCTCAATAGCAAGCTTGTAGTCAATAATTCCTCCAGTCACTCTTGAATTCTTCACAAAGGGGAAGTTTACTTATAATGGAAGGAAGTTGAGTGGCTTTCAAATTCAGGTTGCAGTAAATAAAACATCTCAGGCTGAAACTACCAGCATTCTCCAGTGACTTCTTTAGGTTCTTCCTGATTGGGTTGATGTTCACATTCTGACCTCATATTTAATAACTCCAACATATCACAGTGTTTATACTATAGTTATTAATCTCCTTAAAATGATTAAATCACTTTCCTTAAAAATTTAAGTGAAAACATCTAAATCATGCTCAGTCAAATCTTCCATTTACTTTGCATGGTTCAAGAAACGTTGCCCTTTTTTTTCTTTTACCTTTTTAAGAAGAGGTTTTCTGGGATGTGGAAGTCTGGCAATCCTACGTTCTGAAGGTCCAACTCCTTTAAGCCATTGAGATGATCTTGCAAGGTCTGGGCATACGGAAGACTCTCAGCTGCCTTCTGAAGCCATGTGTTTGTTGCCTACAAAATGACAGAAGGTTTTTAGAGTAGTGGACATAGGTGAGCCTCAAAGTACAATGAATATTAGGTGAAAATCCAGATTTGACAGGTCAATTATTAAACAGGACAGACAATGCACTGAAAGCTAAAAATAAATCACAGAAAAATTATAAATTTTGCTGCCAGTCACTGATCTCTTCCCATATCTTACAAAAGAAACATCTAACGTAGAATCCTAGCCAGTTCCTGAAGCTTCCTTTGATACCATCAAGTACAGCAAAACTTTTCTGCTTAGTAGCATTCATTTGGTATTTATTACATATAGTTTGTGTAATTGGATAACTACACATGCGCAAATGTTTCAAATATTTATTTTCTTCCCAGGAATTCCCTGGGGTGGGCAGGGTGGGGGGGCAGGAAGCATACCTTATGTATCTTTGGACATCCTTTTGCACCTAATTCAGAGTTGAGGATTTCAGTAGCACTTATAATAAGGTATTGACTGGTATATTTTTATACTTACAACTATTAGTTTAGAACCCATGTGCCGGAAAGTCATGTCTGTTTGAGGAACTCTGTGATCCAAGAGACTATTGGCATACATATGTAAGCTTCTGGGATAATCGGAGAAATCCACAGGGAAATTGGAAGCCACCTTTTTGGTATCCACATTGGTGCCTGTGTTCCATTCAAATTCAATCTTCTCTTCATCTGAAAATGCACATAGGAAATAGTTATGAGTGACACTAGGTCAGCCTGTAACCATGGCTCTCAACACCTGCACATGAGCACACAGTGACCTTGGAAGCACTCAAGAGGGAGAAGAGGGATGTACCGTAACGCCATGCCACCCTCTTGGAAACTGTTGAGCCGAAAGCTGTAGCTGATGAGTCCATTTGGAGAAGCAGCTTAGTGGGGGACCAGTGGGTAAGGATTTCACTTCTGGCTTCTGCTTGCAGACGGGGTATGGAAATAACACCTTTGATCTTGGCTTCTTCCTTTGTGTCCCAACTATGGAAAAGAAAGTTGGCTGGTATCAATGATTTTGTCCATTCCAGATAGATACACAGGATTAAGCAGAAGTTCCATTCGTGGTGATAAAAACAAGATACATGAATGGTTCAGAGAAATAACCATAGGCCAAAGTAATTAACTTCTAAAATAATTTACTCTGAGGAATGTACCAAGGTCAATATCTAAAGTTAACATTCAATACAATTTCAGGACTTTGCAAAGAGGTATAGGGGAAGAAGAAACTTTTTGAAAACTGTTTGATTCCTGCTCTACTATTTACAACTAGATCTATGGCCTTGGAGCTACCATTTCCTCATTTGTAAAACATGGAAACTCATGAAAAACTTTATGAGGAAATTCAGAATAAACCTTGCAGTTTATTGTGAGGACTGGGATAATTTCCTTACAACATTCTAAACACTGCTTGCTAAATGAACAGTAAGTGCTTGAAAAATAGTAGGAAGACCCATCTGGACATGTACAGAGGGTTAAAATATTGAGGGCTCTCTCTACCATTTGGATTGTAAATCAGGGATGCACCTGGTTTGGTCACATGATGAAGAAGAAGAAGAAAGAAGAAAGAAAAGGAGGAGGAGGAGGAGGAGAGGACAGGGAGGAAGAAGAGGAGGAGGAGAAGAGGAAAAGGAGGAGGAGGAAGAGAAACAGGAAGAGGAAAAAGAATCATCAGGGTCTGTAGATTAGGCTAGATCACTGTAAGCCTCCCTTACTTTATGTGGCCCATGAGGGTGACTTCAGTAATTTTCTTATTCTGAACGTCCATGGTGAGTTTGTAAGACTTTTTGTTCTCAGCAGAGTCATCATTTACTCTGAGGATTGTACCAAGGTCAATACCAAAATCCGGAATTTGGACTTCACTGGACAAGGTCATAGTCTGTCGATTATATTTGAATGCCATGGTAGCCTCAGTCGGCTTCATACCTGTAAGAGTGTATAAAAGAAACAAGACGTGTGATAAGAAGCCATGTGTTAGAAGGAAGGAAAGGAAAAGGCAGAGAAATTCCAGGTGCTCAATGTGTTTAAATAAAGACACAGTTCAGGATTTTACTTTACATTTTTAATTCAATGATGTTCATACATGTGTTCAATCTGCAAATATTTATTGATTGCCTTTTGTGTACTAGGCACTTCTCTCACACTGAGATGTCCTTGCCCTCAAGGAATTTACCCTCTAGTAGGGGACAGACAGACAACAGACAAGTACAATTGGATACAAGAATAAAGGACAGAAAGGGAGATAAAAGGTGCATTTTCATGTGGTGGTCTGAGAAGTTTTCTCTGATTAGGAGACATGTGGGCAGAGACCAGAATAAAGAGAGGGGTTGAGCCATGCCGAATTCTGGGAGGAGCACATTCCAGGCAGAGAGTCAGAAAAGCAAAGGTGCTAAGGTGGGGAGCACTTGGTGTGTTCAGGGAACACTCGGAGTCCTTCTGGGTCTCTGAGATATGACATCTCTGTATTACTTTCCATCTAAGATGCCTGTCCCGCTTCCTTGTCACCCCTGCTCTGGGTTCCCTCTCCCTGACTCCTCTTTTCTATGTAACAAGATTCTTCAATTCATAGGCTTACTCATTTTACCTCTTTTGTAAAACTGCTTTTACAAAACAATTTTTTTCATCATGCAACCTTCCCCACCCCCTGCAATGCTTTTTCCTGTGAACTTTCTCCCCTAGTTTAATTTTGTGACGTACTATCCTTATACACAAATATCTTCCATGTGAACACCTGAATCTGCCCCATTCTCTTAATCCTGCTCATCCAGTAACCTTTTCCATCTCAGTAAATGGCAACTCTGTTCTTTAGTTGCTCAGGTCCTGAAATTTAGAGCTGTACTGATACTCCTTTTCTTCTTATACTCAACATCCTCTGTATCAGCAAATCTTGTTAGCCTGATCTTCAAAATGTAGTCAGAATCTGACCCCTTCTCATATCTTCTCTGCCACAACCCTAATCCAAAACACCACCAGCTCTTGCCTAGTATTGCAATAACCTTCATACTAGTTTCTCTACCCTTGTCTCCCTATCGCCGTCTCTCGATGGAAACATAAATGAAACCATGAGCCCTCTCCAGTTGATTTTATTTAATTCATTGGGAAAGTTCTTAGCATGATCTACAAGAGCATCCTTCCCCCACCTCCCAGCATCTCTCTGACCTCATCTTTTAACTCTTTCCTCCTTGGTCTCTCTGCTTTAGCCATACCGGCTTCCTTCCTTTCCTTTAAACATGCCAGCCTCAGGGCCTATGCACCTGCTGGCCGCTTGGCCTGTGACACTCTTTCCACATGACTTCTCCCTTTATCTTCATTAGCCCCCTTTTTTTAATGCTCATTTTGCCAGGGAGACTTTCCCTTATCATTCCAAATGGCCCTGCCTTTGCCACTCTCCTTCCTCCCTAGTCCTTCTCAGACCTGTCTATGCGCTGTTTTTCTCCCCAGGACTGATCTGACATTCTGAATATTGACTTGTTTTGTTCACTGTAACCTCCACCTTCAGTGCTCACTGTTCCAGCTCCAGATCTTAGAACAGGCTTATTGATCTGTTAATATTTGTTAAATGTGCGAAAGTAAATTAAATGTGTTCTACTTGAGACTGAGGGCAGAGATGGATCAGCCCTGTGTTGGATACTCACCTTCTGCCTGAGTTACAAACTTTAGGGTGTCCACCAAGGCTCTGTCCTCTCTCTGGAGCTCATAGGTTGCGCTGACAGAATACTGCTCTACTTCTCCGGTAGGTCTCAGTTCCAGTTCAAATCTAAAGATGTGAAAATACAGACGGTGTATCATGTTAGAGTTTTCAACCATGGTGATAACATCTCCAAAACAATTCAGCCTCAAGTGTAACAAAAATATGGTCCTTATTTTAACATTGTCTCTACCCTTAGCTAAGATGATCTTTATGCTCCCTTCAGTTTCTCCAAGAGCCCAAGGCAAGGACAGACCCCAGGATTCCCAGGGCCTTTGGAAAAACACAGCAGGAGTTATCAGCAAAACTGAGAACAAACAATGGAACTGGGGAGCTGAAGATAAGGAACTCCATAAGCACAGTGAAGGCTTTAAGCACACTGGTGCACTCCAGGAAGTTCATACCAATAGGTCTGGAGGTTTAGAAATATGGACACTGAATTAGGAGCAAATTGGAATGTGTGCTGTGATCTCATTCAGTGCATAAGCAAGCAAAAGAGGACATGCAAAGTGTTGGCCAGAGGACCTGGTTTTAAATACCCAAAGGAGGGTTGCAAACCCCTAGGACTGGTGACATAGGCCAACAACACATAGCATTTTTCCTGTGCCCTGCTAGGGGGTCATGATGTGGAAGGCGAGAAGATGCTGGACTGAGCACTGAGCGTCTCTGACCTGGTGTCCCCGGTCAGTGGATAGTAGGAGGTGGAGTCTGTGGAGCTGGCATTGGAGTAAGCGCCCGAGGTGCAGTAATTCAGGCCAGTAAAGAATGGCTTGCAGGCTGACCAGGACTGCCTGTTCTCAATGAGAGGTGGGATCGCCTCTGTTTTTGTGGTAGAGACCAAATGCAATGTGTTGCTGGTGAAGAGAGAAAAAGCCCAAGTTATCTTCAAGTCATGAATAGAAATAAGCATCACTAATCCTGGCAGGGCAAATGCTCCCTTATCTTCCTCTCTGTCTCCCCTCATCCCATACCCATATCTGATTATTTAGCTTATGGAGAAACAAATAATAATAGGAAGAACATCACCAGAGAAACAATCATAGTTACTCACGCTTCAGACATTGCACTGAATACTTCACATTTGTTACCTGTAACCCCCACAACAGTAGGCATAGAATTCTCACTTTACAGAAGAAACAGAGACTCAGAGAAGTTATATAAGTGATTACTGGGGCTTTAACTTAGGTGTGCCTCTTCTTTTCTGAGGTGCAGGGTAAAAGGAACCCTGTCTCTCTCATATGAAATCCTCTATTATCTACTGCCTTCTTTCTACCAGCATTAAACATTTCAGGTCTTTTCCCTCACCCCTCTTTCTTCTCTCCCCTTCTTCCTTTCTCCCTCTATCCCTCCCCTCCCGCCAACACTGCTCCTTTTTTGTTCTCTCTTGTTTCCCTCACAGGAGAGTTGCCTGCTTTTGCAGTTTCCACTATTATTTTCAGTGTGCTTCTCACTAACTGCTTACTCCATCATCTGAAACTGCTTTCATCAACATCTCCAAGTCTCTCCTTGCTCCTAAATCCAATGAACATATGTAGGCTTTATCTTCCTCCACCTCTCAAAAGCCTCAGTAGAGTTGCTCACCTATGTCTAGATTAAGATGGTAGAGTCTTAACCTCTGAAAAGATTATGCTCCCCTCCTTCCAAGTACATATTTAGAAAATTAGTAAGTATAAGATAGTTCAACAATACCCTGATTTCTTCTAAGGATTCTTTTTTTTTTACTTCCTGAGATGAGGTCTCACTCTGTCACGCAGGCTATGATAATAGTGGTGTGATCATAGCTCACTGTAGCCTCAGACTCTTGCGCTCAAGCTATCCTCCTGCCTTGGTCTCCTAAGTAACTGGGACTACAAGCACACCACATCTGGCTAATTTTTTTACTTTTTAATTTTTTTGTAGTAATGGAGATTCACTGTGTTGCTAAGGTTGGTTCTAAACTCCTGGACTCAAGTGATACTCCTGCCTTGGCCCCCCAAGTGCTGAGATTATAGGTGCGAGTCACTGCACCTGAACTTCTTCTACGGATTCTTTCTTTTAATGTCACATTTTTCCTATTATTGTTTCCCCATTTGGGGGGTGTCCCAAGACCAAGCTTGGCTGTTGTGCTTGAGCTTTAATGCTGGCTATGGGGTGATTCATGCCTGTGACTGCTTCTTGGCTCCTGTGACCCTTTATGGCTATGATTCTTCTGTTTCTCTGGTCATTCTTTCTCCATCTTTGATGGTCACTCCCATTTCCCTTTATGTATTTTTATCTTCTCCACATTTCTGTCCTAATTTCTCATGTCAAACCTTATATCAATTGCTAGACACCGAATTAGGATCCCAACAACCTCTAATTCCCAAATCCATATTTGGCACCCAAACTGCCTTACTGGGCTCACACCCATAGATCCACTTGCCAGCTAGATATTTCTAATTGGCTGTTTCATAAGACATCAAATGTAGCACATCCAAAACTGAATTATTTTCCTCTAAACCAGTAGTTTTTCCTCTGTAGCCTTTATTTCAATGAAGGGCATCTCCTTAGTGTTTTTTCTTTCTTTTTCCTTATCCCCATACCCAATCACCCAGTACTCATGATTTCACCTCCAGCAAGTTCTAGAGTCTATACTCTCCTTTCTACACCTGACTTTCCTCCAGTGTAGACCACTGGCATCTCTCAAAGTCGAGACACCTGACTGGTCTCCCTGTTTCCAACTATACCTCCTTTCCACTCATTTTCCACTCAGGAGTCACAGTATTTCTTCTGAAACACTAGTTCCATCTTATTTATGCTCTCTTTTCAACTTCTTTGCCTTCAGAGGAGTCCATCCTCCTAAGATGGCTTTCATAGCTGGTAATAGTCTGACCCCTGCCAACCTCTCCACGTCATCCCTCACTGATGTTGCTGAATACTTTCCCATTCTAAACTCCTTTCGGTTCTTTGAATTATATTCTTTTTTTTTTCTTTAGGCCATTACATGCTGTTATCATTTCTTTCCCCTTGGTCTGGATAACACCGACATAGCCCTGAGATATCAGGTCAAGTGGGCTTGCTTCATAAAGCTTTCTCTATCTATTACAGGTCACACAATGTAGAATTTCATGATACTCTAATACTTTATCTAACTTTGTTCTTTTGTGGTTACTTTTTGCTTAATTGTATGTCTTCACTATAAACTGTAAGCTCTGGAAAGTCAGGGACCTTGAGTATCTCATTCAATATGCTTGGTACATATTAGACAATTAAATATTATTTTTAAGTAAACACACAAATGTGTCCAAAATATGGAAACTAAGGTAAGTCAATGGTTGAGGGTATTATCAAAAGTGAAACTCTTTATAAAAGGCCACATCACATAATCATGAAATTAGGAGTTTCATGCTTTACCCACTGATCTAGCTACTATGAAACAGTATGTCCTTTCATATTTTTCCTGGAGAAAAATGTTCATTTCTCAAAGATGATTACTCTAGACCTAGTGTTTCTTCATTCTCAAATCAAGTAAACAGATGACAACAACAAAAATCACAACCTAATAGCAACTAATTAAGCAGGGGGTCTTAAGCCTCAAAGCAGAAAGATATAGAACAATTTAATAAAATGTAAAAATTAGAGGAAAATATAATTCTTTAGTGAGTCTGGGCTAGGATAAGAATAGGAGATCCAGAATCTTCCTTCTCTACTCTTCTCCCTCTTCTCTGGGATTGGATTGATTTCAATCAGTTGTCTAGCCTGACCAAATCCTGCAGATCCGTCCTCAACTTTCTCTTTCAAGCTGCCTAGGCAGACCTGGGTGAAAAAATTACCTGCCACTGAAGAGCTTGACAGGCCTCTTTGGAGAAGGAACAATGAACTTTAGCTGCCCAGCCTTCAGGGCAACACGAGCCTGTAGGCCTGATTCATGAAAGAAGTTGGTGTTCATCTGGACCCCGCTCCTGGCAAAGTCCGGAATGATGATGCCCATGTTTGTCACAAACTCCACAGACACAGAGGGTTTTACCACCAGTTCAGCCTGCATCTATAAGTCAGAAAACAACCCATTCAGGTTCATTAAATACCTCAGCAGTCAGGTCAACCACCCTTTCCCATCTCTGGATAACACAATTCAGGAAATATTACTGCAAATTGTCTGAAAGAAGAAAAGCAACTTCTCAGTTCTCTAGAACCAGACAACACTGCCTATAACTAGAAAGTACCTGAATTAATCTTAAACATAACTAGATAAAAAAATGACAGGTGTACTCATTGAGAGAACCGAGTTCTTGTCTTACTGCCATATCCCAACTGGAGTTAGTGAGATCCTGCATTAAAAAAAAGTTGTTTTTTTTTTTTTAAATTAATGAGATCATTACAATGATGGTGCACTTTGCTTTGAACTAGAAGCACATTTTTAAAAAGTGCATAAGATCCATCCTGAGCCGGGCTCAGTGACTCAGCCTGTATTACCGCGCCTTTGGGAAGCTGAGGTGAGTGGATTGCCTGAGCCCGCGGGTTCGAGACCCACCTGGGCAACTTGGGGAGACCTCATCGCTACAATAAATCAAAATGAGCTGGGCGTGGTAGCGCGCACCTGTAGTTCTGGCTACTTGGAAGGCTGATTGGAAGGATCACTGGAGCCCAGTAGGTCAAGGCTGCAGTGGCTGAGAGCGGCCACTGCACTCCAGTCTGGGTGACAGAGTGAGACTCCAACTCAAAAAAGAAAAAAAAAAAAAAAAGAAAAAAGAAATCCATCCTGGAGGAAAAGAATAACCTAAGAAGTCAAAAGGTGAACAGTCTTACGTTGGCCATTTCCAGTTTCGCTCCAGCCTTGGTCCCGGGAGTGATGACTCCAGATGAAGACATTTGCAGCTGTAATCCAACCCCGGTGGGGAGCTCAAAGGCATTGTCCATGAAGATGTAGTGAAGGAAAAAGTCGCCCTTTGAACCCTTGCTTATGGCCTCTCCAATCTATAGATCCAACAGGGTACAGCAATTAAAATTAGGCCTTATTTAAGTGGGTTTTGTTAAATGCAAACTGCTGGACAATAATTCCTTTTTTTCAGAAAGGAAGGGACTAGTTTATTTTGATTAGCTGAATTGTGTAAAAAATAAAGATTAATGATGACTGATTTCAATGAATCGAGATATAAGAAACTTAGCTGGATAAAATATGTCATTTTTCAACTAGTGATTCAGAAGGCACTTAAGAATGTTGCTGCGTCTCAAAGCTTTATGAATTTTAAATATCATGTATGGTATGGCTTAATTATAGTTTTTTGGAGTCTGAATGTAAATAAGAGTATATTATATTGAATGTAAAGAAGGGCATATTATATTATGGTAAAATCAATTTTTTAAAACCAAGAACCTATTGAGATGGTCTACATATCAATTTTCATTGGTTTTTGCTTTTTTAAAAAAAATAGTATTTTCATAAAATAAATTGAGGCTGGGTACAGTAGTTCACACTGGTAATTCCAGCACTTAAGGAGGCCGAGGCAGGAGGATCACTTGAGATTGGAGTTTGTGACCAGCCTGGGCAACATAGTGAAACCTCATCTCTACAAAAAATTTAAGGAATTAGTTGGGTGTATTAGCTTGCACCTGTAGTCCCACCTATTTGGAAGGCTGAGACAAAAGAATCACCTGAACCCAGGAGGTCAAGGCTGTGGTGAGCTGTGATCATACCACTGCACTGCAGCCTGGGTGACAGGGTGAGACTCTAACTCAAAAAACAAAAACAAATAAACAAAAACCTTTAGATCTATTTTCTTAAAGCCAAATATTATTTACCAAATCATAAGGAATATGATTATATATTTTCTCCTTTATTAATAAATTCATAAAAATTACAGCAAATTTTGGGATAATGGATTATAGTTGGCCAAATACTTTCACAACCATATATCATTTCAATATTTTTGAAAAAAGCTTTTGGCAAAGGTGGAGGAAGTTATACTTAACAGTGTTTTCCAGATGAACAAATTAATATTCTTAAAAGATAGAGTTAACATTATGAATAGCTTAATTTCTAAATGTTATCAGTTTCTTGTAATCTAAAAATTGTTGTTATTGAAATTCAAGGGAAACTTTCCTCCTTGAAGGAAGTATAAGCACCTTCTTTGGTTTGTGTAACTGGGACCATAAGGGAGTCAGAGAGATCTGAAAAGAGCACCGTCTCGTTTCTTGGGACCCCAGTGAGGCCTGGTGACTTACCATCTGTGGGATTCCCGTCAGAGTACGAGCACCAGTCAGAAGCAACCTTCCCAAGAGATTCAGGTCCTGGAGTCTGGCAAAGCCAAGCTCTTCTCCCAAGATGCGGAGGTAGGCTCTGGCTTCTGGGACGTCTTTGGATTTCAAATCTTTAATCAGCTTCTCAACATTGAGCATAATTCCATTTGCCATGTCCTGAAATTTTAGTAATAAAATGTGTAGTGAGATGTCAGCACTGTCAAACACCTTTAGATTCCTGACATAGGGTCTGCTTGCTGCACATCAGGGCCTAAATACAGACTCTTCAGGTGAGGGCAAAGGGCAGACACTGAAATCCAGAGTAATTCCTCTAAACAGAGACCAAAAAAAACCTGAAGTCATGTCAGGGACAGTGGTTCTCCCAAACCTGTTCTTAATTTTTAAAAATGTAGGCATAGTAAGTATGTGTGGGGAGGAGTTCCTCTTTTTCAAGATGCCAGGATCGCTAGGGGTTCTTCAGATTAGAAGATCCTCTGTCCCCCACTCCCTCCCCTGCTTAGCCTTCTCTCCTGTGACTAGGAAAGAATACTAGAAGTTTCTTGAGAAAATGTAGTTGGTATATAAATTGACCAAAAGTTTGGAACAATTTGATTCTAGAGAAGTTCTTCTTGGAGATAAGAAGAATCCCACAGATAGATGCCCAGGCACTGAGGAAGAAAAGCAAGGTTGACAGACCCATAGTGGATCAAAGATCCTCAGCCTCAACAGGAGGTCAGGAAATTAGAAGCTGGAGGTGAGGTTACCAATAAACCTCTAAGAATAAATTCTTGTCCTGCTGCTGAAAATTGAATGTGCATGTAGTTTACCTAACATCTTTTTGATTTTTTTAATAAAGATATGGGATACAAGTCAGGATTAAGTATATAAGTAGTTTGTGTGCAGGTGAAATTTGGACCCCCAAACTGGTGTGGGGTCTTGTTAAAATGCTAGTTTTGATTCAGTAGATCCTGGGTGGGCCTGAGAACCTGCATTTTAAAAAAATTTATAAACATATTTTTTATTTTAAAATTGTGGGGTAGAGTTAAGGGTTAGGTATACAAATATGCATTGTGCAGTCACCCTTGTTGATAAGGGGTGTCTCCCCGTCCCCAGACAGATATTGACTACCATTAATCCCACTTCCTTTCTCCTCCCTGTCCCCCCATAGTTTCCCACCACTGTAAATCCTTTTCTTATAGTATTATGATAGATGTTCAAGGTGAATGAGAACATGTGATACTCAAATCTTTGTTTCTGTGAGAGATCACTCAGTATTATAGACTCCAATTCCATCCAGAATGCTGCGAAATTCATGATTTTGTTCTTTTTTATGGCTACATAGTATTCCATCATGTATATGTACCACATTTTAAAAATCCAGTCCTCTTTTGATGGACAGCATGGTTGGTTCCATGATCTTGCTATTGTGAACAATATTGCGATAAACATACGTGTGCAGGTATCTTTTTTATAGTGTGATTTGAGTTCTTCAGGGTATATTTCCAGTAGGGGGATTGTGGGGTCATATGGGAGGTTGATATTTAGAGCTTTTAGAAATCACCACACTGCTTTCCACAGAGGTTGCACTAGTTTACACTCCCACCAACAGCTTAGCAGCGTTTCATTTTCACCACATCCTATCCAGCATCTGTTATTTTTTATTATTGATAATTGCCATTCTGACTGGAGTTAGGTGGTATCTCAGTGTAGTTTTAATTTGCATCTCCTTGATGATTAGTAAGGTTGAACATTTCTTCATGTGTCTCTTGGGTGCTTGGATGTCTTCTTTTGAGAAGTGTCTATTCACATCTTTTGCTCACTTTATAATGGGGTTGGTTTTTTTTTTCTTTTCAGCACGTTTGAGTTCCTTGTAGATCCAAGATGCTAGGCCTTTGTCAGACATGGAGTTGGCAAATACTTTCTCCCAGTCTGTGGGCTGTCTCCCTGCTCTCTTGATGGCTTCTTTGGCTTTGCAGAAGCTTGTCAGTTTAATGAGGTCCTACTTATCTATCTTATCTCTTATGGCCTATGCGTTTTGGGTTTTGTTCAGGAATTATATGCCAGTTCCAATTTTGATAAGGGTGTGTCCTGCATTTTCTAAGGTTCTTATGGTTTTAAGTTTTACATTTAGGTCTCTGATCCATTTGGAGTTAATTTTTGTGTATGGGGATAGATAAGGATCTTCTGCATGTGGTCAGCCAGTTTTCCCAGCACCATTTACTGAATAGGAGAGCCTGCATTTCTAATAAGCATTCACATAGTGCTAGTCTCTAGAGCACATTTTAGGAAACAAAACATTAAAGAATAAAAGGTTCCAGATTACATATCTTATTTTACTCCTTTACAGGGGTATCCAAATAGGAAAAGAGGAAATCAAGTGTTCTCTCTTTGCAGACGACATGACTGTATACCTTGAAAACCCAAGAGAATCTGTCAAAAACCTGCTTGTACTGATAAAGGACTTTGGCAAAATCTTAGGGTATAAAATAAATGTGAAAAAGACAATCACATTTCTTTACACCAATAATAAACAAACAGAAACCCAAATTAAAAGAACAATCCCATTCACAATAGCCACAAAAAAAATGAAATACATAGGCATCTTCCTAACAAGAGACGTGAAAGACCTGTACAATGAAAACTACAAAACACTGCTCAAAGAAATCAAAGACGACACGAACAAGTGGAAAACTATCCCAGGCTCACGGATTGGAAGAATCAACATTGTGAAGATGTCCATCTTACCTAAGACAATCTACAGATTTAATGCAATACCCATCAAATTATCAGCAACATTCTTCTCAGATCTAGAAAAAACAATATAGGAATTCATATGGAAACACAAACGACCAATAATAGCCAGAACAATCCTCAGCAAACAAACAAACAAACAAAGCAGGAAGTATCACACTACCAGACTTTAAACTTTACTATAAAGCTACAATAATCAAAACAGCCTGGTATTGGTACAAGAACAGATATATAGACCAATGGAATAGAATTGAGATTCCAGAGGTAAAACCTCAATTTCTCAACCAACTCATCTTCGACAAAGCCTCCACCACCCTCCACTGGGGAGAGGAGAACCTATTCAGTAAATGGTGCTGGGAAAACTGGCTGACCACATGCAGAAGATTCAAACAGGACCCCTATCTATCTCCATACACAAAAATTAACTCTAAATGGATCAGAGACCTAGATGTAAAACCTCAAACCATAGAAAATGCAGGACCCACCTTATGGAAGTTGGAACTGGCATCCAATTCCTGAGCAAAACCCGAAATGCACAGGCCATAAGAGATAAGATAGACAAGTAGGACCTCATTAAACTGACAAGCTTCTGCAAAGCCAAAGAAACCCTCAAAAGAGCAGGGAGACAGCCCACAGACTGGGAAAAAGTATTTGCCAACTCCATGTCTGACAAAGGCCTAACATCAAGGACCTGCAAGGAACTCAAACATGCCAAAAAGAAAACAAACAAACAAACAAACAAACCCCATTACAAAGTGGGCAAAAGATATGAATAGACACTTCTCAAAAGAAGACATATGAACGGCCAACAGATACACGAAATGTTCAACCTCACTAATCATCAAGGAGATGCAAATTAAAACTACACTGAGATACCACCTAACTCTAGTCAGAATGGCAATTATCAATAACAAAAAAATAACAGATGCTGGAGAGGATGTGGTGAAAAGGGAACACTTCTACATTGCTGATGGGAGTGTAAACTAGTACAGCCTCTGTGGAAATCAGTGTAGCAATTCCTAAAAGCTCTGAAAATAGACCTTCCATATGACCCCGCAATCCCCCTACTGGGAATATACCCTGAAGAACAAAAATCACTCTATAAAAAAGATACCTGCACATTTATGTTTATTGCAGCATTGTTCACAATAGCAAGATCATGGAACCAACCATGCTGTCCATCAGAAGAAGACTGGATTTTAAAAATGTGGTACATATACACAATGGAATATTACACAGCCATAAAAAAGAACAAAATCATGAATTCTGCAGCAACCTGGATGGAATTAGAGTTTATAATACTGAGTGATCTCTCACAGAAACAAAGATCTGAGCATCACATGCTTTCACTCATAAGTGGACCTGGAACAACTGCCGTAATACTATAAGAAAAGAATTGACAGTGGCGGGACACTGTGGCGGGGAGGACAGGGAGGGGAAGAGAGGTGGGATTAATGGTAGTCAATATCTGTCTGGGGAAAGGGGAGCACACCTTATCAACAAGGGTACCTGCACAATGAATATTTGTATACCTAACCCTTAACTGTACCTCACAACTTTTAAATTAAAAATATATATTAAAAAAAATGACAGTTTTGATTTAGTAGATCCTGGGTGGGGCCTGAGAACCTGCATTTCTAATAAACATTCACATAGTGCTAGTCTCTAGAGCACACTTTAGGTAGCAAAACATTAAAGAATAAAAGGTTCCAGATTACATATCTTATTTTACTCCTTAAATGGGGTTCATTGCTAGCTTCAGTGGTCCCATTAGCTAGTACACTGATGTAAGTGCCAAATAAAGCAGTTAACAATAATGAACATATTAATTTGAAACTTATAATGGTGTCTGCTTTTTGAATAATCAATACCAGCATCAGGCACTGTGCTTAGCAATTTAGATACCTTGTTTCATTGCATTTAAAAATATCCTGGTAAGGTTTAGGCTATTACTGATACTCTAGGATGCAGAAGCGGCTACACATAATACCAAGGAACTTGCCCAAGTGTGAACAGCTTCAAGACAGTGAGGTTAAAATTAAATCCATGCCCCAGAGTTCATATTCTTAATCATTATGCTAGGGTGCCTCTAATGAGTCTGGTTCCTGGGCACCTTGAGTTTCCAGAAGGCCCTTAACTACAGAGAATACTGACCCTTTCTTCCTCAAATCTGGTTAATAATAACCATAGTTAACACTTCAGTTAGACAGCACCTTGATCATTTCCAAGCTTAGAAAAGAATGTTTTTGCATTGAGACTCAAAACTTTACTTAAGAGGATACTTAACAAATACATACCTGCCCACTTTTATCATCTTTGGGATAGCCAAAGTGATCTACCAAGACCTTGGAGACATGATCAGGAACCCGGCCATTAGCCCAGTACAAAGCTTTGCTGATACTGTCTGGGAAAAATCCTTGCTTCCCAAAAAGAGCTTCTAGTGTTGGCTCAAAGCCTTTTCCTTCCAAGCCAATCTGAGAAAGAAAGTCAGGTAGGGAAACAAATGTCATTGGGTTTCTTTGCTGTATGTAAGCCTCCCGTTCCCCTCTTTATGTTCATTTAACTAAAAGAGTATTTGATGAATATGATAGGGCAGGAGCTGAGCTCAGCACTTCACAAAAATTGTTTTGTTAACATTTTACTAGGACCTTGAACTTATTATTTACCTCTTTTAAGAAGAGGCAGCAGCTAACGTTCAGAGAGGACAAATAACTAAACCAAGGATTTAGAGATGGGAGTGGGTTTGGGGTTTAAGCCAGATCTGACTAGGTAGTCCATGCATTTCCTTGGGTTTGGGTTTAAGGGCCTCTGTGAAATATCTGCATTTCCGTCAGTAAGAAGGAGCCATGCTTCAGGTGACCCCTAGTGGGGAGAGAGAAAGGTGAGGAAAGAGGAAAAGAAGGTGGCTTCAAAGTGATAGCTGAAATTGCCTGATAATTCTTGTTTCTCCCCAGCTGGCTCCTGGCTCCCAACTCCTTTGACTTTCCATTCATGGCGTCGTACAGAATGAGCTAGAGAACATACAACTTCACACATACCTCAAAGAGGTCAGCTGAAGCAAATCCAAAGATAGTAAGGGTAGTTTTCAGCATACTTTCTGTAGGAAGGTAATTATTTGGATCAAACATAAGATTCCCTTCAATTTTGGCTGAGGCTGAGTCAAGTGATGGCAGAGAAACAGATTTGGAAAACTGATAGTTCCGGGAAAATTTTCTGAAGTCCCTGACAGCTGGAACTGGAACTTGTTTCAGAGCTTCTTCCAATAACACTTTCAGACTAGATGAACAGAAGACACATATTTTAGGCTGACACACCATGCTATTTATCCGTTGTCTCTCAAATTCCAAGTAAATGTGGACTTTTGAGTGCTACTAAAAAATATTTGGGTTTCTTTTGCCACAAGACTTTGGCTCAGGGTCTGCTGCACATTTGCATAAGTGTTTGTTCCAGAAGAAAGCACACTCCTTAAAGAGCAGGCAGTGGCTATACCGGAATCCAGGCTTGGAGTTCCAGCCCAGTGCCCTCCGTGGCAGATGGGGGAAAATTACCCTTACTTACTCTTGTACATACAATTCTTCTGACTTCAAGATGTTGGAAATGTGGGAGGCCACAAAGTTCCTCACTTGTTCATTCTGTTCCTCTGGTAGACGTTGGGTAATTTTGTCAATGTCTGACTGGGAAGGATCCCTCATCACCATGAGATAAGCAGCCAGTCGCTTATCTCCTGGAGAAGCACTATCAAGGAAAGTCTGAAGAAGGACTCCCTGGTCCTGCAGTCAAAAGAGGAGATGGTTACTGCTGTCCTTTGTTTAGAACACAAACATGCCTGGCAAACCCCAGCATGGTCTGCTACCTTTTTCTTATGGACAAGTCTAATTTCTCTCTAATAACTTTTCATATGCTGGTATTAAATCTTCTTGCCAGTGTTCTCTAGAGCACGTTCAAGGCAGGGATCCCAGAAGATGCCTATGAAATGTGTGTTGAATTCAATTACATGAAAGTATTTAAATTATGACCAAACTATGACTTGTTTGGAGGTTCACCACTGAAATTATTTCAATATTAGAGTAAAGATGGGGAGTGACAGTAACAGTTTGGGGTTAATAAATAAGATAGTTTCAAAGTTCTGGAGTCATTGCCAGATAAGACCAGGTTGATTATCCTAGCCTGATGCTATGGGGAAAAATTAGGCATACTTTCCCGAGATAAGAGGACAGTCAATATGATAGGAAGATGGCATATAGTAAAAGTCTCATATTCTGCATGCAAGTGAAATATTTCTTTCATGCTCACATACTGCTAGACAGTCAAGTTGAAATTTGCAATTAGAAAACAGTGGAATAGTCAGTAAATGAAATTTAAAATCACATTCTGCTAGTACTTTCCAAATCCTTGTTAATCTGAATAAACTTTTACTTTCTGACCTTTTCTGGACTTTACCTCATTGTTAAGTTCCATCTTCCGCAGGGCCTGGATGGCAGCTTTCTGGATCAGCAGTGATGGCTTTGTACTTTTGACACATTCCAGGATTGAAGACTTGAGTCTTGGAGTTAGCCGCTCCATGGTTTGGCCCATATTTCCAATAACCTGCATTGAAGAAAAGAAACAAGGACCCATCAGAGTGCAGGAGGAGAGAGAAGTAAAGGGTGTTAAGGAAAAGTGCTTCTGAAATGATGCATATTAAACAAACAACTGAAAGTACCCTCAGAATCAAATAGGTGTGATCTTCGTCCCCAGTACACTCATTTTGAATCTGTCCCAACAGATAATCAGCAATGTCGAGCAGGTCCTGGGTCTCTGTTGGGTTTGTTTTATAATAGCTACAGAACAAGAGAAGAGAGTTAGAACCCAGCAAGCATTGTTAGATTTATCTTAAAATCCAAACTGGTGACTAGAAAAAGCAATCCTAAAATATAGAACCAAAAAGAGCCCAAATAGCCAAAGCAATCAACAGTAAAAAGAACAAAGTTGGAGGCATCATATTACCTGACTTCAAATTACATTACAAGGGTATAATAGTCAAAAGAGCATGGTACTAGTATATGAAATAGACTCGTAGATCAGTAAGACAGTTGTAAAGTGGAGTGAGAAATAAAGTCACATACAGTCAACTGATCTTTGGCAAAGTTGACAAAAACCTACACTGGGGCAAAAATGTCCTTTTCAATAAATGGTGCTGGGAAACAGGCTAGCTATATGCAGAAGAATAAAACTCGACCCTTATCTCACACCATATACAAAAATCAACTCAAGATGGATTAAAGGCTTAAATATAAGACATGAAACTACAAAAATACTAAAAGAAATTCTAGAAAAAATTCTTCTGAACATTGGTCTAGGCAAATAATTCATGACAAAGACTTCAAAAGCACAAGCAACAAAAACAAAATTAGACAAATGGGACTTAATTTAACTAAAAATGTTCTGCACAACAAATAATAATAATAGTAAAATAATAATAATCAACAGAGTCAACACAACCTGCAGAATGGGAGAAAATATTTGCAAACTATGCATCCAACGGGGGACTAATATCCAGAATTTAAAAAGAACTCAAATAATTCAACAACAGAAAACACCAAATAATCCCACTAAAAAGTGGGCAAAGGGCATGAGTAGATATTTTTTAAAAGAAGATGTACAAATATGAAAAAAATGCTCATTGTCAATAACCATTTGAGAAATGCAAATTAAAACCACAATGAGATATCATCTTACTGAGTCAGAATGCTCTTATTAAAAAGACAAAAATTAACAGATGTTGGTGAGGATACAGAAAAAAGGCAACTCTTATACACTGTTAGTGGAAATATAAATTAGTACAACCTCTATGGAAAACAGTATAGAGATTTTGCAAAGAACTAAAAACAGTATGACCATTCAATCCTGCAGTCTTACTACTGGGTATCTACCCAAAGGAAAATAAATAATCATACCAAAAATATATCTGGATCTGTACATTTATCACAGTACTATTCACAATAGCAAAGATATAGAATCAACCTAAGTGTCCATCAGTGGATGATTAGATTAAAATGTGGCATGTATGCATGACAGAATCTACTCGGCCATATAAAATAATTAAATTATGTCTTCTTGCAGCAACATGGATAGAATGGGAGGTAAAATAAAATAAAATAAAATAAATCTTGAATAAAATCAATCCATCACAGAAAGACAAACATTGCGTGTTCTCAGTTATAAGTGGAAGCTAAACAATGTGTACATAAAGGCGTAGAATATGGAATGATAGACAATTGAGACTTGGAAGAGTAAGGGAGTGGAAGGAGGTTGAATGATGAAAATTATTTAATGGGTAGAATATATATTATTTGGGTAGTGAATACCCTAAAAGGCCTGACTTCACCACTACACAATCTATCCATGTAACAAAATTATACTCTGTAAATTTACACCAATACATGTTTTTAAAAGAAAAAAGAAATTCACCAAAAGAAAAAATCTTCAAACCAATGTTAAACTGAAGTTAATGATATGCATGCTGAAGTAACTTAGGGGAAAATGTATTGATGTTTGGAATTAACTTTGAAATGCTTCAAAAGTAAGGTGGATTAATAGATGAATAGATATTGATAAAACAAATATAATAGCATTTAAATAATAGAATCTAGGTGGTGAGTATATGGGTTTTCCCTGTAAAATTCCTCCAACTTTTCTGTTTGAAGACTTTTATAATAAAATGTTGGGAAAATATATATTTTTAAAAAAATCCAAATTTGCATTTGCTGATTTCTTACTTCAAGTTATTACTCTCAAAATGATCAATAAAAAACAAAAGAGTAAGTAGCAGAGTTTGAAAGTGGAGGCAAGGGCACAATTTTAATACTGTACAGAGATGGAAGGTTTTCTTCTGCTCTTGGGAGAAGAAACACAGTAAAAAAAAAAAAACTCACTTGTTGACCACATGGCTCAGTGCATATAATGTGGCCCGGCTCCGCTGCTCCCTCGCCATGTTGAAGATCTCCCGTATCCTCTGTGCCGAGGGCTCTGAAATGAGGGCTACCAGGTAGGTGACGGTATCTATCAGAAGGGGGCTGGCATGTGTACCCTTTAGCCACTGCAGGATGTGAGTGTAGCACTGGGGCTGCCCACACTGAACCAAGGCTTGTAAAGTGATGGGGCTGAAAAGAAAAGCATGGAGAAAGTTACATAGATCAACTTCAAGGCAGGTAAAATATGTGTTGCTATTGGTGTGCCCTCTGCCAGGAGAGCCCTTATTTCCCTCATTCACTATCCAAATCTAACCATCTTTTAAAATCTAACTCAGAGCCTAAGAACCATGATACCTTCCCTAGGGGTGTTACCCACTTGAGAGGTACCAAAAAGGAATGTCTCAAGGAGGACCCACTGGACCAGTGCCTAAAAGAGGATTGTCTTCACTGTCCTTTGGTCAGGACACAGAACACGCTTGCATTGGCAAGGTCTCATTCCTGGCCTCAGTCCCTTCTCTGACCTTCATAGCACTTAAAGCTAGTGCCTTGAAGGGTAGAGAAATCATTTTATTTTGTTTGCCTGAGCTTTCTCTCCTGTAAACCTGTAAGATTCTGGAGTGCACAGACTTTTTCTCTCAAAGCTTTCTGGGGTACCCACACTAGAACTAGAAATTAGAAGATACCCATCAAAACATGGAAACTATTTTCCCCTATTTTAACATACAAATACATACCTGCCTTGAATTCGGTGTGTGTGTGTGTGTGTGAGTGTGTGTGTGTGTGTGTGAGTGTGTGTGTGTGTGTGTGTGTATGTGACCTATGGAACTCTAAGAAACTTAGCTGATATTTCTCTATCCAGCAAACACGAACTGATTGACTAACTGATTAACTGAATTGATATTTAAATGGTCCCTGAGATTCTTCAATTGGCCAGGGTTTGAAAGTTTAGACCGTTATGCAAAATATTGAATTGTAATCATTAAATACCTGGACACCTCAATCAGCTGTGGCAAGAGAGATGTGACTGCCTCATTGCTGAGGCCTCTTAGCTCAGTAACCAGTTTACTGAAGAGATAAGCTCTCTGTCTGTTCTGCTCAGAGACAGACAGCTTTTTCAGTTCTTGGAGGGTCTTCAAAGCAGCCTCTGCTTGCTTTGGCGGTGACGTGGATTTGGTGCTCTCAAAGGCAAGACCCACCTTCTTGGCACCTGGAAGAAGCAAAGTGTCAGAGGAATTCTTGCCGACTTCTTCATCTCAACCATATCTTTGTCTACCAGAAACTGGACATTGAGAAAGTATTAGCACAGGAAAAAAGAGAAGAAAATTATCCTGTACTCAAAACCTTAGGCATCTGGCTTTGTGATAGGTGACTGACTCGATTGTTTCTAGGGACTCATCAGCTTATCCCTGTGGGTTAGCATTAATCTCCAGTTTAGAGACCCAGAGATGACAAATTACATTGTCCAAAAATGCTCTGCGTCTAAGAGGCAGAGCCGGAATGGAATCCAGGTTTGTTTGATTCTGGTAGCAGATTACCTTTTACTTGCAAAAACTGGTGAGAAGGTGCAGCTGTAGACATGGTTAGAGCACTGGCACTCATAATCATTTATTCTAATTGGGTCTATAGCAGTTTGTGGGGGTGGGGAGACCCTCTTGCATCCCCCCTGTCACTCTGCCCAGACCTATGATAGGGAGAGAGTGAAAGTCAGCACAGAAGTGTGGTGTAATGGAAAGAGTCCCGGCTTAGATTAGACCTGGGTGCTCCTTTGCCCTGCCTCTAATATTCTGTGATCTTGAATACATCAAGGTCTAAACATCTATATCATCTACTCCTCTATAGAATGGTATAAAAGCACCTATCTCTACCACCTGACATCACAGGTTGCTGTGATAAAAGATAACAATGATGTAATGCAAAAGAAAGAGTTTTGTAAATGCAACGCAATGCTAGGTCAGGGTTGGTTTAAAGATCTCTCAAGTCCCCTCTACTTTTAAAGACCAATTCCTGAGATGACTATCTGGCCTGACCCTGAAGACCTTCTCCCACTCACCTCACCTCATTCAGGCTAGTCCCAGGTCTTATTATAGGATGTGTAGCGTCAGTTCTACCAAAGACGTTGTGGTAAATTAGGATTCCAGTTTTTTACTTACAAAAACCTAGGTAGCTTGCGGAACTTCTCCTTTTCCTTTATTCTATCACTACTTGACATTCTGAAATGAATATGCTTTTGCATGGAAGGTACCCAGAACACCAGAATCCATATCATTCATTAGTCAGCATATATTTATTAGGGCCTAGCGAAAAGCTAAGCTGTAATTGGCACATCTTGAGCAGATTTATAAAGCAACTGTGTGATCATAAAGTCTTACCTTCACCAAAGAAGCGGCTGTTGATCTTAGGCATGTCTTCCAGTTTCAAAGTCTGTGTAACCTGTGCCATTATCCCATACTTATTCCTGGGAACAAACGAGGCACATCATGTCAGGATGGCCAGCTCCCCAGAACACTCTATTCTTTTCATGTTGAATGCCACCCGCCACCTCGCTTCTACCCCAATCCTGCCCACCTTCAAAGTGTGGTCAACTTCAGCCAAGCTTGGGCCCCTAATGAGTAACATCCACTTCCTGGTAATCATTATCCATCTATCATAAAAACATATGTACTCTTCACCAGTCTGAATTGTCCATTGGGCAGGAACTAACATTGTGTCTCAAAATTCTTTTGTCTCTTCCACAACAAAGTGCCAAGAATATGGCAGTTACTCAAAAAATATTAGTTGAGTCTCAGTTTTCAAAATAGATTTGGATACACAAGTCTTCAGTCAAAACCCCAATTATTCATGAAAACTTTTCTAACCAGGGTACCATACAATGATCCCCAGATTTTCCAGATTTGCAACCTTTAAAGTCTTGGACTAAGATTTCTTTGTTGTTCTTGCATTGTTTTGCAATCCTAGGACTTTCCTGCCAAATGACCTGTCAGCTTGGAAAGAGGGAACAGGGATAGGTTTTGCTTTGTCCCTCTCTAGCTCCCTCCCAGGCACTGCTGAGCCTGAAACAGGAAACTGGAGAAGTGTTCAGCAAACACTGACCCATTAAATGACAAATTGGGGGTGCAGTGGGTGACCTACTTGTAGGAGAAAGGCAGGAATAGGTGTTGCTCCCTGCAGACAGCTTCTGCTACATGCTTCCTCTTGGAGTCCAGGGTGTACTGGCAGGACTGGCTGCTGCTGATCAGAGTCGACAAGGGGCGGGTCTATGAATGAATTGGAGGAAGAGCACTTTGAGTAATTTCTATATCTTCCATCATAGGCATTTGCCTTCAAGGTAAAAGGGAGTGGGAGTCCTGCAGCACAGATAAACTCAGAAGACGAGAACTAGGTACTTGACATTTAGACAAGGGGAGGCAACATATCAGCATACCCAAAACTGAGTCAAGTTATTAAGCCTCCCTATTCCACCCAAATGGACAAGTCTATATCTTGTATCCTGCTCTTACCCATCCCACCACATAGCCCCTCACACATGGCTGCTCAGTGTGCTTTCTTTGCCTAGAAGCCTGTTCTTATGACTCTCTTCCATTTATACATCCTTTCTATTTTTCAGGTTCATGCTCCACATCCTCCATCAAACTTTGCCACCTAACCCCAGTAAGAATGGCCATCATTAATAAAATAAATAACAGATACTGGCGAGGACGCTGAGAAAAAGGTACGCTTCTACATTGCTGGTGAAGATGCAAACTAGTGCAACCTCTTTGGAAGACGTGTGGCAATTTCTGAAAGAACTAGGAATTGACCTTCCATATGATCCAGCAATCCCCCTATTGGGAATATACCTGGAGGAACTCAAGTCATTCTACCAAAAAGATACCTGCACACACATGTTTGTTGCAGCTCTATTAACAATAGCAAAAACATGGAACCAACCATGCTGCCCATTGAAGCTGGACTGGATTAAAAAAATGTGGTGCATATACACAATAGAATATTATGCAGCATAAAGAAGGACAAACATATGAACTTGGCAGCAACTTGGATAGATATAGTCGATCATACTCTGATCTATCACAAAAACAAAGAACAGAGTACCATATGTTCTCACTCATAAGTGAACCTTGAACAATTATCATAATACTGTAAGAAAGGAATTGGCAGTAGTGAGAAACTGCTGGCGGTGGGGGTAGGATTGGCAGTTGAGGGAAACTGTCAGGGGAAGGACAGGCACACCTCATCAACAAGGATACCTGCATAATGAACATTTGCATATCTAACCCTGAATTGTACTCCATATTTTTAAAATAAAAAAAATGTCTAACACACACACACACACACACACGCACACACACACACCTTTGCCCAGTCAATGAACTGCATAAATGATACTTTCTTCTTCCTGGTCGGGCCTAGGACTGCTTGTCTGTGCTGCTCAGTTTATCACTTTGCAGGGCACAGCATGTGTTGTTCTTTATTGGCATGTGTGTGGACCTCATTCCTGCATTAGACTGAAAGCATCCTGAGGAGAAGGTCCATGGTTCATCTGCCACCACCACCCCTCTCTCAGTACTGCCCAGAGTGGGGCTGAGCACACACACAGCACATGTTCAGAAAAGACACCTAAGACAGTGCATCACCCTCTGCTGACTGTGGCCCTCACGGCCATCAGACTTTCTGTTTTTGGCCCCAAAGACAATGACCAGGATCATTGCCAGCCATGGCAGTGATGGCTCAAGTTCTTCATGCTTGCTGAGATAACCTGTGGCTCATATCGTGGAAGCTGTTACAGGGAAGTCAAGCTCAGGTAATATGGCACTCCATGACCCCAGTTAACAGTAGAAGAGGTAGTACTTCGGGATGGCCTAGGCAGAAGGCAGAGGGTCCGGGTTTGGCCAGGGTGATACTTGAGGTAAGACAGGAAGCTGGAACATTCTCTGTCATATCACTTCGTGTGTTAAGCCAGAGGCTTGGAGCTGGGACAAACAGCCCTTGCACGGGAAGGAACAGTAGGTGGCTTTACTGTCCTATGTACAGCTCAGAGTAGTCTCAGGGATGAACAGTCATTACTCTCAGGAAGGACAGAGCACTGAGCTGGGAGTCAAGAACCTGGTTCTAGTCTTGCCTCAATTGCTCCTAGGTCATGCAGCCTCGGCAGTCCTTCCCATGTCTGGTCAACGTCCTGTCTGTAGGGCATATAAAGAATAGGCTGGACAGGCTCTTCTCAGAGGTCCCTACTAGCTGGAACATTTCAGAATTTTAGTAATGACGGATCCTGCCTAACGTGCCTAATAGTGCTCACGTGGGACTTACCATGCCTTTGATGAGAGCGAGTGGGCTGACGCCTGTGCTGGTGGGCTTGAAGCGATCGCATTGCCCCAGGTCTCTTTCGGTGGATATTTCTGTCGCCACATTTCCCTTCCTGGTCTTAACAGTAAAGTGAGTGGAGCAGTTTCCATACACTGTATCCTATAGGAGCAGAAGATATAACCGGGTACATTCAACATGGGAGACATCCTTAGGTCATTGGGAGGGGTTGGAAAGGGAGCCTGGGGGAAGAGGTGAAAGGAATATAGACTTGAGAGGAATCTTCCTTCCTCTTAGGTAGAGTGTGGCTTTGCTGGTGCCTGGCCAGCCTGAACTGGGAGAGAGAACACCGGCAAAGGGTGAGTCTGCAGTAAGGCCTCTGCAGAATACATCTCTGTATTCTCCAAGTATAGTGAAGTCAGTAGCAAAAACATGGAACTGAACCTGCTGCCCATCAAAAGAGGACTGGATAAAAAAATGTGGTACATATACATGATGGAATATTACGCAGCTATAAAGAAGAACAAAATCATGAATTTCATAGCAACCTGGGTGGACTTAGAGTCTATAATATTGAATGATCTTTCACAGAAACAAAGAATTGTGCATCAAATATTCTCACTCATAAGCAGACCTTGAACAATTATCATAATACTATAAGAAAAGGATTGGCAGTAACGGGAAACTCTTGGGAGGTGGGCAGGGAAGCAGGATTGGCAATAGTGGGAATCTGTCTGGGGAAGGGGGGGCCCACCTCATCAGCAAGGGTATCTGTATAATGAATATTGGTATGCCTAACCCTGAATTTTACCCCACATCTTCAAACTAAAAAAAATTAAAAATTAAAAAAAGTATAGTGTTGTATAGAAATTAGAACAAAGCAAGGGCAGAAAAGTATTCATGGAACTGAAGTAAAATGACTTTTCTCTCAGATTGAAACCTGAAATTCTTGAAGAATACCGGCGATATATACTATTATTTTCGGTGTTTAAAATACACACAGGCCTTACTGTGTTATACCATGTAGGAATAGGACAACAAATGCAAACAAAAGGGCAACCTCCTAGGGTCCCTTTCCACTGTGGGAGCTTTTCTGTCCTCTTAATAAATCTTGCTTTCTCAAAAAAAAAAAAAAAAAAAAAAAAGCAAACAAAAGCAGGGTGGGGTAGTCAGGACTCCCTAATAGCTGCTTTAAAATTATGCCCAATTGGATCAGCCTGCTTGGCATGATCTGTCAGTGAGACCAGGGGACAGGAGGAGTCTTGGACATTCATATTTCACACCAAGATGGGGCTTTCTTTATATTCAGAGGGACAGGTCTCTAACATGCAAAGATGAGTTTAAAGGGCCATGGGTTATCAGTTTTCTAAATTCTCACCAGAAACAGCACTTGGGTGGCCTCTTCTGTCTCCAGGGGAACCAAAAGGGCAGAAATGATACCCCTCTTGATGTTCAGGATGTGTTGAGGCTCATCTTTCTCTGGGTATAGAAAAACTTGCTTCCCTTGCGGAATGGTCAGCTTGAGCTCGTACCTGTCTCGGAGAGAGGATGGTCACAAAATGTCATCTCTCCATCATAACCCTGTGAGAAGTAAGTTGGGCAGCTTTGTAGCCTCCTTTTCACCTAATTGTTCTTCTCTGGGCAACATTTCTTTATAAATACGTTTACCCATAGACATACATTTCCGAAAGTATGCACAAGGATGTGTGTCTTTGGTGGTCTTCGATTGCTTTTCCTTTTTTGCTCGGCTCATCCGCCCTGCTCTGTCTCCCCCACCATGCCAGTCTGTCCTCACCCTCCCCACACGGACACCCCAACGGGCATTCCGTTTGTCTCTCCATACCCATACAGTCCTACACAAATGTGGGTGGGTGCAAACATAGCCATGTAACGATTTTGTCATCGTTTGTTTCATACAAATGGCATTGTATTATGCTTACTTTTCTTTATCTTGCTTTTCTTAATTTTTTAAACTATACTTCACAAAAATCTTTCTCTGTCATCTGGTAGAGCTCTAACAGATTCTTTCTGAAAAAGCTGCATACCATTCCCTTTGATGCCTATAGATAATTTGCTCAGACATTATCCCATGTGATAGCATTAGACTTCTCTCTTTCTGGAATTTTTTTTTTTAACCACACAATACTGAAATAAACATCCTTATGCGTCGATCTTCACACATCACTGCTTTTATTTTCATGGGCTAGAGTTCCAGAGACTGAAATTGCTGTGGTAAAGTATATAAGTATTTTAAATTGGATTAAATATTGCCTAATGGTTCTTTTTTCCACCAGCAGAGTATGAGCACACTTCCTCACCGGCTTGCTAGCAGCAGGTGCTGTTTTGAAGCTTTGCAGTCTGATAGGTAGAAGGGGATAAACATCTCGTTGTGACGTTAATTTGTATTTCCTCACGACTAGCAAACTTGAGCTCCTTTTCATGCATTTGTTGGACATTCACTCTTTTATATAGTGTCAGATCATGGCTGAAGCCCATGTGGACTTTGGTCTTGGAATCTTCCCTCTGGGGACTCTGGGTTTCCCAGGACCTGGCTGCAGCTGCTCTAGTTAAATCACAAGGAGGAAAAGGAGACAGGCTCATCCCCTACAGCTTTATACCCTCTCAGAAAGTTCCAGACATGCAGGTGCAGGCCTGGAAAGTCCTCCCAATCAAGAGCAGGAGTCTCTTTTGTTTGATGAAGAGCAAAGACCCCCAAAATAACCACTCCTCTCTCCCACTAGGACATCCTTCTCCCTCATACACATCTAAGTCTCAGAGAAAATGAGGTGTATGAGAGAAAGCAGCATGAAAGCCTGTTTCACAGAGAAAGAACTAGTATCTGAGTCTAATGTTTAGCAAGTCAAAAACTAGGATGAAGGTTCCTGATGCTCTAATAAATGAATATTTCTATCACTGCCTGTATCCGCACATCCCTAGGCACTTACACACTGCGACCAGGGACGATATAGGGAAGATGGTGAAAATATTTAACAACCAGTGCAACATGGGCCCTGATCAGTCAGAAGATCAATGGCTTATCAGTGTGCAGTGGCTGAATGCCAGCCCCAAATGGGAAATCACTAAGGACTCAGTACTCCTCTGCCTAGGCACCACCATGCAAAGCCATAGTAGCCAGTGATGCTGGGACCCACGTGGAAGACCACCAGGCACCGGTCTTGTTTAATTCTTTTTTTTTTTTTGAGTCAGAGTCTCACTCTGTCACCCAGGCTGGAGTGCAGTGGCACACTCATGGTCACCTTAGCCTCGACCTGCTGGGCTCAGGCGATACTTCTGCCTCGGCCTTCCAAGTAGCTGAAACCACAGGAACAAGCCACCACACCCGGTTAATTTTTTTTTTATTATTTATTGTAGAGATGAAGTCTCACCAAATTGCCCAGGCTGGTCTCAAAGCCCTGGGCTCAGGCAATCCTCTCACCTCTACCTCTCAAAGTGCTGGGATTAAAGGCGTGAGCCACTGCACCCAGCTTGTTTAATTCTTTAAATAAGAATTTACTTGTTTAAACAAACCATCTCGGCTTTATTGTCTCAAGAAATTTAAAGCATGAGATCTTTTAGAAGCACATTTAAATGATAATTAAGGGAACCTAACTAGGGAAGGGTAAATAATGCTTCCCTTTTTTTGATGGTTGGGAAAACTCAGCAATTTCTGGATCCACAGTAAACACAGAATACAAATACTGTAGTCACATACACGCCTGATACAATCACAAAATTGACACATCAGCAGACACACACCCAGGGATGCACGGAGCTCAGAAACTGAAATATACAAGCCCAGGCCTTACTTGGACATGGCAGCAGTGAACTCCTCAGAGTTCTTGGTCTTTTTCAGCAAGGCCTTGCCCTCAGAGTTGAAGCCATATACCTCTTTCAGGGTGCACTGGTTGGTCTTCAGGATGATGCTGCAGAGTTGGGGGACCTCCAGCTCAACCTGAGAATAGAGGGCAGTGGCACAATGGGCTTCTCCATCAAGAACAGGACACGTCACAGTCCAGGGCTTCCTCTCTCATCAGGACACCAGGGGGAATGCGGCTGGGAACACGCCTGTCTGCTCTCCAACACTACATCTCCTAACATGCCTTCTGGGTTCTCCATGCACCAACCTAGACTCAGTCCTATGGTTGGCCTTTCCTCCCTCTTGGGGCAACAACTTTCTGAAGCCTGCCCATATACATGGGAAGGAGGCTGCCCTATTGGTTCTAAATTCTCCCTTTTTGGTAACAGGAATGGCTGGTTGGAAGAAATGCAGAATAGAAGTGACAGTTAAAAAGCAAAATAGGAAGCAGGAGGAAGGCCATCATTAGTTTCCATAGCAAATGGTTCCTGCATGTCACCAAAAAGACCAATTCGTATCTCTCAGGGCCTATCTACAGCATCACATATATACAGCTGGAGTTTCAATAGCTCCCAAGTTGTTCTCCAGTATTATCAGAATAACTTTCTGCCATGATGAAAATGTTCTATATGCCATGGTGACTACTGGGCACATGAAATGTGGCTAATGTGACTAAGAATATGAATTTTTAATTTTATTCAATTTACATAGCCACAGGTAGCTAACATCTACCTTATTTGACAGCACAGGCAAGAAGAGGATGACTTTTCAGCCTGACTTCTCTTCCCCAAACTCCAACAGTGGCTTTTAGATCTGCATGGACACGTGTACAGCCAGATTCAATAATGAGTAAAGTTTTATTTTAAAACAAACTGTATGCTTGTTTTTCTCTTTCCCATTTGTCTTTAGCAACCAATTCTGTTTGGTGTGGATGATAAAAACTGCATTCCACAGCGCTTTTCAGAAACACCCTTCTCTCTTAACTTAACTTACCCACTGGGCTTCTGTCATTGCTTAAATCTATAGTCCTGCACGACCAATCATCTAGGTCATCTAGACCAACTGAATCTTAGACATCGATAGAACAATATATATGGCTGGAAAAGTTTTTGGTGGCAGACAACATGTCAGCAATATGGCTGACTTACAAGCAGAGGGACGGTCGGAGCACTTTGAGATCACGATAGTTCTGGCATGCTCTGGGTTTGCTCAGCACACCCCTCTTGGAAGGAGGCTTGCTGGGCGTCCAGGGGAACAGGGCTGAGGAGAGCTGTGGGCTCCAGTTCCTCTAGCCTACATCAGCCATACCTTGCAGTTGATCTTGGTGGCACTTCTTGAATCAGCAGTCCCGGGGACTCCACTGGAACTCTCAGCCTCATAGTTGTATATGTATTTCCGGAGGTGCTTGAATCGAGTTGCATCTTCTGAAATGAGGAGAAAGAAGTCAGCCACATGGTAGAAATAATGCTCCCAAGGACAGTCAGTTCTGAGCCGAGAGAGGCAGTGACATGGATAATTTAAAACGGTGATTAAACTCAAATTATTTTTAACTGACTTTGTATTATGCTTAATTTTCCTCTATAGATTTTACTTCTCCATTATGTTTTTGCTGAGGCGAGTGTTTAAATTAGCTAGCATTCTTTGATTATACCATGTGAGGTACAGGGAGGGAAGTGTCAAGTAATGGGGCTCAGAAAATCTATAGAAGAGACCCTCTGGTAAACTAAGAATTAACAGCATCAAGAAAAAAAAATAGTACTATCCCTAATGCTTTTTTTTTTTTGCTTGAAAACACCCCAATTCTGTGACTCAGTTTTGGTACTACTGAATACCTGGAGCAAAGGTTCACTAAGCATTAGGAGTATCTGACTAACTTAAGAAACCCTCCAAGAAGGAATTTCTGGAGGTTTCCCGGTGCTTGAGAGGAGTTAACAATTTGAGACAAAGAACATCTAGGTCCTGGCCCAGGTGCAGTGATGCAAGATGTCCACCAGATGGCGGTGCGGCCTCATCAGAAGCCAGCCCCGCAGCTCGCCGGAGAACACGGGCTACTCCTGCAAGGCCAGTTCCTTTGACCCCCTAGGGGTCAGGTAAATAGGAAGGAGGCGAAGGTCCGGATTTCTGCGCAAAGGTTAAAGTCGGCTTTTCCTCACCCTCACATGCTTCGAATCAATGATTAGTCACTGATAAACGGGACAGTGATGGCTCTTCAAAGCCCAACGGAGTGATAGTCCTTTCCGCCCCCACAAGTCACCAAAGTAGCACCGTCCGTTCCCTCCTCCATCCCCAGGCTTTAGCGACAGAACAGAAGAGCGGGTGGAAGAGAACTGAGATCCCTTGAGCAATGGACAGAGGCCCAAAGAGCTTGCTTCCTGGGGTCAGAGCAGTGACATCACCGCACTGGAGAGGGCGAGGCCCTCGGCGACCCGAGGTGCCGGAGGATGGGGGAGGGGGGCGCCCTTCCGTGCCCGGTGGGCCGATGCCTTACTTGGACAGGTGGGGCTGACGTCTTCCAGCACTTCCTCTTCTGTAAGAGAAGGAGAAAGACCAGGGTGAGTTTCCCTACCCCTTCCCAGGGGGTGCTACGGCCCGACAGGGAGGACCCCTGCGTAGGTCTCATCTTTTAGAAAGGAGGCAGGCCCTGGAGAGCCCATGCCGAACTCCTCCATCCTGCCGCTCCCATCCTAAGTCTGGAGGAGATGCCACCTGGCCCTGGCCCCCGTCCTCGGACCCTGTGCCTGCCCTCCCTCTGGCCCCGGC